CAGTTTTTTTTTTAATATTTTCACTAACTTTATATTTTATAAAATATATAACCGAGATTAATATTTCTTTCCATCTCGACAAAACGTTGAGATGCAAATTTCATTTTACAACCATTGCATCGCACAAATAACAAAAATCATGTCTGGAAATAAAATATATAAACAATATTACAAAATTATTATTTTAAACAAAGCAATAATACGAAAAAAATACATATAATACAATTTTTTTAAAAAAAAAAGTAATTAAAAATAAAACAATAATTAAAAACTATTGAAGATCAATTACAGACAAAAATAATATGAAAAAATACTTTTATAAAAAAATTCAACCTTTTTTTGCATCGGCTGAGTCGAAGCAACTATAACTGGTCTAGAGTGGCATCAACCGAGACAAATCCATAATAAATAATGTAAATGAAAAAAAATAATAACTTTTTTCACAGATATATAAATAGCTAGAAGATAAATTGTACATTTAATGCTTTGAAATATGCATATTAGTTTGAGCGGTTATTAAACTACAATGATTAAATTGATAAATCGGTGATGAGAGAGTCACTTACAAGGGAAAAGAGGGATGCAACGTAAAATGAAGACTTATAATTTTTTTAGTCATAACTCATTGTATGTATAGGTGAAAAAATATGACTTATATGAGAATTATAAATTTGTAAGATTTTTCAAAAGGAAAGTGTATTTATTTATTTAAGGTATTGCCATAATCAATTCATTATATTGATATTCCTAATCAAGTCATTATATTAATATCCTAATTAATTCATAATATTGATATTACTAAATCTATACAATAATATATTACAAAATATTTTATAAGTATAATTAAATAATTTGACAAATACAATAAGTTTTTACCATAATTAAATGATTTGACATACAATAAGTTTTTACCATAATTAAATAATTTGACTAATAAAATAAATTTAGACGGAAAAACATGTTTAAAACACAATTAAAAATAGTGCAAAAATCACTATTATATTTCAAATATATATTTAAAAAACTTATTTGTTAACACTTAATCTTTTTATTTTTTTAACTAACATTAATAAATTAACACAAGTGTAATTTCAACTTATTTTTATATCTCATATTTAAAACATTTTTGGATATGTTTAGTTTAAATTTAATAAATATAATTTGTACTTCTCAGTCGAATATATGTAAAAATTTTACATTTGATATCTGAACTAAATTTATATTTGTATATGACATAATTAAAAATGTATTTAAACGCCAACTACTATGTAGTATGATAGCATATATGTTACCATTCCAAATAGATGGTTTAGTTTATATATTAATAATAATAATAATAATAATATTATTATTATTATTATTATTATTGATATAATATGTAAAATATTTTTAGATACATTAATTTGAATGAAATGTCTATATATATTTGTTAAATTTGAAGTTCAATATATGTGAAATTTCAATGTCAGATATTCGAACAAAACTTGTATTACAATATAACATAACTACAAATATACGAATCAATATTCTATTGAGTTTAATCAAAATCTAATCTAAAACTTGATGTAAAGTTAAAGTTTTATTTACTTTCGGGTTTATCCCTCCTTTTGATCAAAACAAAAACTTACATGGCATTTGGTTGAATGTAATTGTATTGTAATTCAATGAATATCTCAATTACATTGTTTGCGTAGAGGAAATTGTAATTTTTTTCTTTTTTTGGTTGAATTGCAATTTAGTGTTTGTGGGAAAGAAAAAATAAAAGAAATAACAAAAGTATCATTGATGATTGTTATTATTATTATTACACAATGACATTTTAATTTTTATACCACTTTTTAATTCTCATTCCAAATAATTATATATTTCTTCATACTAAACAATGTAATTTAAATTTCTACATTATTCATATTTTATTCTTTTTACATTAAATTATAATTTCTTCTTCCCAACCAAACACCTCATTAATGCATCAACAAAACACACATGACAATACATTGTGGTACGATACACGATGGTATCAATAAGTAAATAACCTACCAACCTCAACATCTTAACATCCTGCGTTACATGCCACGTCATCACAAGAAGACATTATGACATTATGGTGGCTAGCTAATCCCCCGACCAGTTCCGCCCGATGAGACCACTCCAACTGCGACTATGTTGCCATGGTCTGCTAATCTACTTTTTCATACTGTAGTTTTTAGGATGTTGTTTAGCTCATTTTTGTCTGTTCATCCTTACATGTTTTCCATTTCTGCGACATCACTCACCTAATCTTTAATCAACTACAACAACTTGCAGCTTAAACAAAATACCAATCAAAAACTTAGAATGACACCTTTAATTTAAACTAGAGTTAATATCCAAAATGGTCCCTTAACTATGCCATAATTAATAATTTGGTCCTCAACTACCATTTTTACCCAATTAAGTCATCAACTATGTAACTTTTACTCAATTAAGTCCTCAACTATACAATTCTTACCCAATTTAGTCCTCAACTATACAATTCTTACCCAATTTAGTCCTCAACTATACAATTCTTACCCATTTAGTCCTCTGTATTAATTTGACTGTTTGTTGACTGTCAAAAGTCGGGATAAAATTATAATGTTACAAGATTTCTCCTTCCTCTACATTTAGCAGCGCCAAACCATGCAGCAATACACTCCGATCAGATTTCGATCGTCAAAAAATCGTTGGAAATCAAATTCATGGGTTATCCGATGCATAACCACTACTTCGATACTGACAGGTTTAGAACCCAACCGGAGCTTATTGCTACATGGTTTGGCGCTGCTAAATGAGGATGAAGGAGAAAACTTGTAAAATTACAACTTTATTTCTACTTTTGACAGTCAACAAACAGTCAAATTGACAAAGGACTAAACTGGGTAAAAATTGTATAGTTGAGGACTTAATTGTGTAAGAATGATAGTCGAGGACTAAATTGATAATTACGACATAGTCGAGGGACTATTTTGGGTATTAACTCTTCAAACTATAAAAAGAAAAGAGGCAAAAATTAGATCGAGGGTCGATGTTCATGTCTTCATTGCATTTTCATAGAGATAAAGGGAAAGTAATGAGTTTCCTCTTATTATTTATTTAATATAATTTAGACACGATAAAGTTTTAATACAAAATTACTATAATAGAATATTGACCAAATGGAATCAAATAGTTTCAATTAGTTATAAACTATTGCATAATATGACTGAGATCAGATGTGAATGTAGTTAATGAGCTATTTTTCTTTAAAAATGTTAATGATTTTTTTTTTTTTTTATAGTGAATTACTCCGCATAATATATTGGTCATGACGATAGTTTGTAAGTGGGTTGACATGATAATCAATGTTAGTGGACGTGTTCAATCAAGCTAACATTGCATTGATATAATTAAATAGCTATGATGACATAGTTCCATATCGTGATGAGCGTTATTATATTATATTAGATAATAAGACTCATGCAAGTATGCAACATAACAAGTTGGATTAACTAGCTAGCAATTCTCCCAATATCCATAAGCCACTTAGTAATTCATTGTTTTGGTTTACTACAATAAATGAAATTATAATCGATCACTTATATATTGATATAAACAATAGTGTGAAGTTATATTTATTTACGTAGTATTATTTATTTCATATTATTGATATACAATGGGTATTTACTAATTTTGATGATGATTGATTATTACCATTAAATATTGAGTTAATACTTAAAATTGTCCTCGACTATAGTGGTTTTTTTCAATTTCGTCCTAAACGACTTTAGTGGCCTAATATAGTCCCAGACTTGTGTGTTTCGCTCAATTTAGTCATCCGTTTGTTATTTCGTCAAATTGGTGTTAAATAAAGGGACGATTGAATAATATCAATATTCACCTCTCTTTACTTTCAACCTGCGAAGTGAGAAATCTCTTTTTCTTACACGAATTACACCCAGAGTTACTCTCAGACCTACGAATCAAATTTTATATTCGCAGCTTTAGAAATGATTATGGGAGTAATCCGTAAAAAAAGAGGGATTTCGCACTTCACATGTCTATGAATAAAGAGATGCCAATATTAAAATTACTGAATTGTCTATTTATTTAACAACAAATGGGGGACTAAATTGAGCAAAAACACAAAAGTCTGGGACTACATTAAGTCACTAAAGTCGTTTAGGACAAAATTGAGAAAAACCACTATAGTCGAAGACGATTTTGGGTATTAACTCATTAAATATTTGTCAACATTTACATTTGTGTACCAACAATATTCAAACTTACAACTTCTCATTTAGGAACACACTTGTCAACCCATCAATTAAGCTACTTTATATATTGTGTACTAAAAGATAAGATGCTCGATCTACTCATTTAGGTGAAAGGTGCTGACAGAGAAGTAATGAGGGAACCCGTATATGGTGTAGATGAAAGGCAAACCAAGACCATACACTTATCAAACCTCTTTGCACTATATAAGAAGTATCATATCTCCGCTACATCCATCTCTTAGCTCACTACAATCAACATATTATGGTATTGACTCTCAACAGAAATAAATACTAAATTAGGACGTTGAAGGATTAACAACTTTTAATACGAAATAGATTTGTTTATTAAGCATTGGGTCAAGAAGGTACTGAATCAATCTAATTTAAAAATAAAAAAATAAATGATGTAATGGGGGATTGAGTAGGTTACCTACAAATGTAACCTTATCATAGGATTCATATTACATAAGGGACTAAAAGAACAAAGCCTTAAAATTTTCGCACCACACCATAAATTAAGGTAGATTTAGGGACATGGAACACAAATTACTTATAAATACAGAATTTAATCATGTTCTTAATTTTGGCGTTATCTCTGATTATATATAATTAATATAAGCAGCAGTACTTATTAATTTAATTATTTTTGGGGAATACAAAAGCAACAGAGTAAAAAGAAAGTGAAACAGTTTAGTACTCCGTAAAAGAAAGCATTGGAAATGTCTTCTCACAGTCATACATAGTAACAGTGTTTTCTCACCTTTCTCCTCCATTTTTCTCAGGAGAATTTTCTTGTGTGTTTTTTTTTTTTTTTTTCCTTGTTCTCGTATTTGACTCAATCAAAGGATACTATATACGCGTACGGCGTTCCTTTCTCTTTCCAGAGAATACACAAAATTTCTCCACATTTTCTCTTTCTATATCTCCGCCGTCGCCGGAAAATTGAGTTTCCGGGACTATAATTCCGCATTTGTGATCCGTTGTATGTCTTGAAATCTCAGGTGGTGCCCCCAGTTGCTCGAATTTAGTCCACCTGAGTACGGCTAGCACAGTTGGAATACCGGCGCTTCGGGAAAACTGTTTGTTCTTCAGATCTGTTAGGAATTCTAGGGCTTAAAAATAGTCGATTGCTGGTAATTCCAAACAGAGGTGGTAGGGAGGGGATTGGTTTTTGTTTGGATGGTAGTATACGGACTGGACGGTGCCGTGCTCGTCAAAGCCGCCGGCAAAGGAGTAGCTGATGATGACCAAAGGTTTTGAGAGTGGGAGGTGGCGGGGGCGGTGGCGCGGAACGGGTTTCGCTATCACATGGAATGGCAGATCTTGTTAGCTATGGTAGTGCCGACCGTGACATTGAACAGGTCTGTACAGTCGAATAATAATTGTACAATTCAATGCAATGATGATATATCTGTGTTCATCTTTTGGTAGTATTATTGGTTCATCTGCTTCTCCTACCTTTGCAGGCATTGGTTGCTCTAAAGAAAGGTGCTCAACTCCTCAAGTATGGGCGCAAGGGAAAGCCTAAGTTCTATCCATTCAGGCTTTCTAGTGTAAGTTTATTCTTCTATGCACCCTAATTATGATTTATGAATGGATATTTTGGTGTTCAATTATGTCATTGTTTGAAGTTTAAGAAAGTCATAATTCTCTAATTGAGTGTTGAAAAGAATTTGTTATCTCATGCAAGCTTCAATTGTTGCTTTGCTGAATGGGAAACTCGATACCATTTTGTCATTATGTTTCTGCACCCAGTAGTTTCTCCCTTCAAAATTCAAATGCGTATCCATAAATTCAATGAAGTTTTGGTATAAAAGAAAAAAAAAAGGCCATCATCCTACTTTTGAAAATTTTACCTTTTAACTTCGTTGTACTTGAAGGAGTTGCAATCAGGATTATTGCTTTAGTGGAACTGTGGGGAAATCTTTTCTAGGTGATAGGAAACTGTAGACTAATGATTTAGGGGAAAAAGCTATGCACCATGAGATAAGTCACCCATTATCCTTGCTTCTCCTTATTGTAACTTGCTCTTGTATTTTTTGGGGTTTAGCTTCAAAAATAGGTTTTTAAAATGTATTTGTTCATATTCATAAAAAAAGGACTACTTTTTGGAATATGGGTATTATTATGTCAAGTTCAGTGATAAATCCGCTGATGGATGCCGTTTTGCATGCATTTTTTTTTGGGCTTTAAACTTGGTGCTTTTCATATTTGTGGACTTCTGTTAAACTTGCAAAATTTTGCATTAGATGATCAAATTGACTATATTTTTTTTTTTGAAAAATAAGAATGTATTAAAGATTTAAACCAGATGGGAAATACAGGTCGGTGGAACAGACCTCCACGACCCTAGGACAGACATCAAATTGACTATTTGAGTAAAGACATGTTAAGATTCTCTAAACATTTTCTGTAGGTTTTATGAGATTCAAGGATTTAACACTAAGGCACTGACCTTATCCTATATGCTTGATTGGGGAATAATATAATTAATATTTGCTTCAGATCTCTAACCTAGATTGAGTTTGATGTAGTACAGTCTAACATTTGCACTCATTTTTTGCCATAGAAGAGTCTATATCTGAGTACTATTGGATCTTTAACTCTTCTGCAATCAAACTTAAGGTTTTGGTATGACTGGGGTAGTGCTTGGTAAGCTAGCAATTTTTAAGTTTTAGTTTCCCCATGGTGGTTGTGTAGGATATTCATGATATTGGCTATACTTTGTAATATTCAAATTTACTGTCCTCATTGAAAGCTAATTCAGAAGTGCAAATTACCATTGTATCCAGAGCATATTATAGTGAATAGTAAAGAAAAGTGTTAGAAAATTTATTTATTTATTTATTTTGTTTTATATGGAGTATATAGTTTGCTGATAGGTTGTGGATAGGAAAGCACTTGGGGTTTTAAAGCTTCAAAGAAGTATGGGTACAAAGATAATTGGGTTGCCAAGAAGAGAGCTTTTAATATTTTCTGTTAGGATCTTTGGCTGTGATGGGATTATGCTCTTAGTGAGGCTTTGACCAGCTGTATGTATAATAATACTCTCTAATAATTTTCTGGTTGGGTGAATGTATCCACTCTCTAAATTTCACTTTGAAATCTTAACATCTTATGATGGGAAAAATATTGTGTTTTCAACAAATATAAACCATTAGGACTTAATGATGCCTTTGGTTTATCGTTGGTGATGGTGTTTTTGGTTTTGTTTATTTAATTTGTGTGTGTATGTGTGCCACTGCCATAAAGCTAAATGCGAGCAAATGGTTGTTTTCTGCATGTAATATGTATTGAGACCACCATGCTTGTGTATATTTTTTCCTGCTAACAGAAAGCATTTTGTAGGATGAATCATCTTTAATTTGGATTTCTAGTAGTGGTGACAGAAGTTTGAAGTTAGCTTCTGTTTCAAGAATTATTCCAGGACAAAGAACTGTAAGATTTTCAGAATCCTCTTTCTGCTCTCATTTTTATTTTTTGATCTTTTGTTGAGCTAGTGATGCCTTCTATTTTTATGTTTGCATCCATTCTCTTTGGCATTTTTTCATGCTTTCTGATTCCATAAAGCCAGGACCTCAAAAGTGAAAAATATCAAGGTTTCTTTCATTTTTACCCCAGGGGTTGGGATGGGTGAAGCTTCTTCTATTTGTAATTAGAACAGTGTTCATAAAGTCAACTCTGACTTTTATCATGATCTATTCCCAGGCTGTATTCCATAGATATCTGTGTCCTGAAAAGGACTACCTATCATTCTCCCTCATCTACAACAACGGGAAAAGATCCCTTGATCTGGTGAGAAATAGATAATCTTGTGCTTTGTGACTATCCAAGTATCTTCTGGTTTTTATTTGGGATATGTGCCGTGTTATCTTAGATTTGCAAGGACAAAGTTGAGGCTGAGGTTTGGATCACTGGCCTAAGAGCATTGATATCAGCGGGTCAAGGTGGGCGCTCAAAAATTGATGGATGGAGTGATGGAGGCCTCTATTTTGATGTAATTCTACTTAACTATCAGCTCCTTTCTAGCAGTTATTACAGTACCAGAAAGTCTTTCTTTCTTTCTTGCTTATAAACATGTCTGCAATTCGTTAGGGTTTATGTTACAAATCTTGATAAATAGTTAAAGAAAAGTTACTAATAATAAGTTGAAAATGCATGTTGAGTTATATTCTAAATGGTTTATTGGTATCTTTAGACTTTAAGAAGAACTTTACTTCTGGGAACCACATAAATATCTTGTTTGATATCTCCTCCATATCCCTGCCCTCCATTTTTGTGGCTTGGTTAGATATCTATCTCACTATGCCTATAGTAGCAAAACCTCCTAAATTTATTACGACATGGTGTCCACTTAAGCCAGCATTTATTTTTCCGCCACTTTTTTTCTTTCTTTTTTTTTTTTTTTTTTTTTTTTTTTTTTGCCAACATGGAGAAGTAGTCGGAGTTTGAACATCTTCATATATTTTCTGCAAATATTCATGCAGTCATTCTATCTTGCCTTTGTGATATGTGGTGGATGACCACCTGAATTATCAAAGCAATTATCCTTTATCTCAAGAGTGATTGATTTCTAGATCAAATGTTGTAGGAAAATCGAGATTTGACATCAAACAGTCCAAGTTCAAGTTCTGTTAGCGCTACAAGGGAAATCAGCTCTCCAGAGGCTTCCATTGGTTCTAAACCGAACGCTTCTCCCAACCACTTTGGACGTGATTCTGGTAGCTCACATGCAGCTTTGGATCTAACAAATATGCAAGTAAAACCTAGTAATTCAGATGTGTATAGGGTTAGTGTTTCCAGTGCGCCCAGCACTTCTAGTCATGGTTCTGCCCCAGATGATTGTGATGCTTTAGGTGATGTGTATATATGGGGTGAGGTGATATGTGATAACATTGTCAAGGTTGGACCTGAAAAAGATACCAGTACTGTGACCACTAGAGCCGATGTACTTCTTCCTAGACCTTTAGAATCCCATGTTGTTCTGGATGTGCACCATATAGCTTGTGGGGTCAGGCATGCAGCCCTTGTCACTAGACAAGGCGAAGTTTTTACATGGGGCGAAGAATCTGGTGGGCGTCTTGGCCATGGTGTTAGGAAAGATGTTACTCAACCTAGCCTAGTTGAATCTTTATCCTTTTGCAGCGTCGATTTTGTTGCGTGTGGTGAGTTTCACACTTGTGCCGTTACCTTGACTGGTGAACTTTATACATGGGGAGACGGCACACATAATGCTGGCCTTCTGGGCCATGGTTCTGATGTCAGTCACTGGATACCTAAGAGAATTTCAGGTCCTCTCGAGGGACTTCAAGTTGCAATGATTGCTTGTGGTCCTTGGCATACAGCCTTAATCACGTCATCTGGACAGCTCTTCACATTTGGTGATGGAACATTTGGTGTGTTGGGGCATGGAGATAGAGAAAGTGTTTTGCTCCCAAGAGAGGTTGCTTCACTGTCGGGATTAAGGACAACTGCTGTTGCATGTGGAGTGTGGCATACTGCTGCAGTTGTGGAGGTCATTGTGACACAACCTAGTACTAATGTTTCATCTGGAAAACTGTTTTCTTGGGGAGACGGAGATAAAAATCGCCTCGGACATGGTGACAGAGAACCCCGACTCCAGCCTACTTGTGTGTCAGCACTTATTGATCACAATTTTCACAAAATCGCCTGCGGGCATAGTTTAACTGTTGGCTTAACCACATCTGGGAATGTTTTCACAATGGGAAGCACTGTTTATGGTCAACTTGGAAACCCTTATTCTGATGGGAAGTTACCTTGCTTAATAGAGGACAAACTTGCTGAGGAATGTGTGGTACAGATTGCATGTGGTTCGTATCATGTGGCTGTTTTAACCTCGAATAATGAGGTATACACATGGGGTAAAGGAGCTAATGGAAGGTTGGGGCATGGAGACATAGAAGACCGGAAGACACCAACTCTAGTAGAAACCTTAAAGGATAAGCATGTTAAATATATTGGGTGTGGGTCAAATTATACTGCAGCAATTTGTCATCACAAGTGGGTTTCTAGTGCCGAGCAATCTCAATGCTCAGCCTGTAGGCAGGCTTTTGGTTTCACGAGGAAGAGACATAATTGCTACAATTGTGGACTTGTGCATTGCCATGCATGTAGTTCGCGGAAAGCACCAAGGGCTGCTTTGGCTCCTATACCAAGCAAACCATATCGGGTATGCGATTCCTGTTTTAACAAACTTAGTAAGGTGGCAGAGGCTGGAGCCAATAACAGGAGAAATTCTGGGCCCCGACTCTCTGGCGAGAACAAGGACAGATTGGATAAGGCTGAGTTACGCTTAGCTAAATCAGGCTTGCCTTCTAATCTTGATTTGATTAAGCAATTAGATAGCAAAGCAGCGAAACAAGGAAAGAAAGCTGATTCTTTCTCATTGGGTCGCTCTTCACAAGCACCATCTTTGTTACAGCTGAAAGATGTTTTAGCTACTGTTGGTGACTTGCGTCAACCAGTTGTGCGGCCCGTTTTAACTCAATCTGGTTTTAGTTCCAGATCTGTGTCCCCTTTCTCTCGGAGACCTAGTCCTCCTCCACGTTCAGCAACACCAGTACCTACAACTTCAGGACTCTCATTCTCCAAAAGCATTGCAGACAGTTTGAAGAAGTCTAATGAACTTCTAAATCAAGAAGTTCAGAAATTACGAGCCCAGGTGCATGGAGCACTCTTGCTAAATTTTTTCTCCTCTCTCAAGCTTCAATTCTAGTTATACCTCTCTAATAGCATTTTGTTGGTGGCATTTAGATAGAGAACCTCAAACATCGATGTGAACTCCAAGAATCGGAACTCCAGAAATCAACAAAAAAGACTCAGGATGCCATGGTTCTTGCTGCCGAGGAATCTGCTAAATGTAAAGCTGCAAAGGAGGTGATCAAGTCGCTTACAGCACAGGTTTGTACTTGTCCTTTACTCTCCTTGCACATCATATTTATTGAACTGGTATGTGATGGCTGTAGATGCTTTTCTGGCCTGTTTTCTTTATCTTTACCCGGTGATGTCTGTAACTTCCTGATCTTTTTATGGTTGACTGTAACTAACGACTTATTCTGGAGCTTTTTTGTTTTCACTTTCCTTACAATTAATCTTCTTCGCCTTACTGTTTTGGCAGCTCAAAGACATGGCCGAGAGATTGCCACCTGGGGCTTACGATGCTGAGTGCACTAGACTGCCTTACTTACCAAATGGCATGGATCTGAATGGGGAACGCCATTCAAGATCTGATTCAATTGCCAGCTCTTACTTATCCTCTCAGGTCAGCATAGATGCTAGTATCCACAACTGTATGGAGAGTCCTACCAAGGGTTCTGGGTGCAATGAAACTAATCAATTCAACCAAGCTCGTGAAATTGTGACGACGTCCAATGGTATGGATGATCCACCACCGGATGTTAGCAACCGTTCATCTTTAGCCGTTGACAAAGAAGAATCTGGTCCTCCACAAGACACTGAAAATGGAGTAAAATCTAGTAGAAACTCTGTGGTTGCTAGCAATGCTAATCAAATCGAGGCTGAGTGGATTGAACAATACGAGCCCGGTGTGTATATAACACTGGTAGCCCTCCGAGATGGAACTAGAGATCTCAAAAGAGTGCGCTTCAGGTACTCACTTGTTTGAATCCATATTTTTCTTTCTTCTTCCATGTATCTGAAGCAAGCAACGTTATTCACTCGTGATCTCATCTTTCATCTGCAGCCGTAGAAGATTTGGAGAGCACCAAGCGGAGACATGGTGGTCAGAGAACCGTGAAAAAGTTTACGAGAAGTATAATGTTCGTGGATCGGACAAGTCATCAGTCTCCGGCCAAGCTGCCCGAAGGACAGAAAGATCTGTTTCTCCGACGTCCCAAATTAGCAACAAATAGTGGAAGAAATTGTTTTGTGCAACTAGTTTTCTTTACCCATTTTATTTACCATTGTAGTGCGCCAAAGCCTGGTAGTTTTTTTTTTTTTTTTTTTTTTTTTTTTTTTTTTTTTTTGCAAGATCAGAATAGCCGATTAGCCAAAACTGCATCGTTCTGACCCTTCTTTTGGTCCTATTTTTTACGTTATCGTAGTGTACCGTGTATATAATATCATATCATCCATTATTATAATTAGTGAAAAAAATCGCTTCCATTAAAAGTTTCATCTTTCAGTAAAACAAAGTATGTACAAATCATCAGTACAATAGGACATTTGGTTAGACTATGAGGTGTACTGAGCATGTTTTAACTGTATGAGGCACCTTTAAACTAGTACCATATTTAGACTAATTCTCATTCGCACTAGACCGACTCAATTAAGGGACAAAGTACTGATAAAATTAATTTTTTCATACGGAAATGATTATATTGTTTCTTCCTTTCTTTGGACTCATTTTGTTGGTTTTTTTGTGGTCAAGAACTAAAGATTATAAACAACTTTACAACCGCCTTTGATGGTTGCTACTTGACCATTGCTAATCGCCGATCAACTCGAAACTCACAAGTCACAAATGCCTAATGCAAGCCCTTTTTACTTCGGACGCCTTCTCCAGTGGAAAACGGTCGGACGGTCGGGAAATATCGTCGATGGCCGGAATTTGTTATCGATGGCCGGAATCCGTCGCGGGAATTGAAATGACCTGTAATAACATGTTATTTATCAGTTTTTGGGCTTCATTGACCCAATTTAACATGTTTGAGTGTTTAATTGAACTTTTTTAAAGTTTAGGGACTTGATTGACCTTTGGGGTAAAATTTAGGGGCCTATTTGACCATTTTCTCATTTATTATTGGAATTTGGAATTTGGCTATGAGCGGTGGACAGTCCTAAACCCTTATCTTCTCCCATAAAGGTTGAATCCCCAACTCTAAGGGGGTGTTTGGTTGGATGGAAAACATTTTCCATGGAAAATGTTTTCCTAAAAGTGAAGGAAAATGATGTTTTATGTTGTTTGGTTGGATGGAAAACATTTTCCATTGGAAAAAGTTTTCCTTGAGTATAAGGAAAACAAATTCCTAGCTTTTGTTAGGTATTTTGTTTTCCATGGAAAACTAATATGCCAATTTTACCCTCACCATTCTTTATTAATTACTCTTATTATTATTATATTATTATTATTGTGTAGGGTTATATTTGTCATTATACACATTATTCCTTACCATTCCAAACTCAACCAAACAATGGAATTCATATTCCCAGTAATTTCTTTTCCACCAACCAAACAATGGAATCTATTTTCTTGGAATTTATTTTCCATGGAATTTCAATTCCATTTCCCTTCAAATATTTTCCAGCGAACCAAACGAGCCCTAAGGGCCTCACATTTCGACCCGACAGAACATGTGGGAGAATGACTATTATTATGTTAGTCCTAACTCCTAAACCCTATATATAGAAGCTGCCTAGGCGGGCTAGACATTAAGTGCACTTCAACAACATTATTATTATTATTATTATTATTATTATTATTATTATTATGTTAGATGTTACATATGAGGCTGTGCCAGTAGAATTATTGGGCAAATCATTAATTTTGAGTGGGTTACCAAATCTTCATCAGTAAAATCAATCCAATTATTGTTTTTAAATATTTGGGTGTCCATTTAAAACATTTTCAATTTAATAAATAAATAAATAATATATATAAAATTCTAGGGCCGGGCATTATTACCAAAGAGAATAATGAGTAGATAAAAAAAAGTTAGAATTATAGTTTCGCATTTACGGAGTACCTATCAAATTTCTATATTTGAAAGAGGTACAATATTTTAAAAAAAGTACACTTTAAATTTGTCCTTATTTAATTTAAAAAAAATCGTGTTTACAGCATAAAATATGAATGCTGGGCCATTTGCTTACGTAAGATATTCCTGGTTATTGTCCACGGCTCCACGTTAATAATATGTTCTGTTTTTTGTTTTTGTTTTTGTTGTCATTTTAAGAAGCTCAATCATTCTTCGGATTCTGACAAACCACTTCAGTTCGTACCACAACAAATCAACAATCTCTGGCTCCGCCGCAGTTTCACTATACCTAAATACAAGTATGGATTTCCCTTTTTTCCTTTGAAGAATCTTCTTCCTTCTTCTTCAGACAAGGAATCAAAGCCACTCTCCTAAACTTCACCGCCACCTCACTCTTTTCCGGCGCCGTGCTCTTCTATTCTGTGAACATGAAGGCCCTATTCACGAGCTTCTCATCTTCCGATCACTTTTCACTCGCAAAGTCCCCAGCTTTCGTCAAAATCACCGCTCTATCCCTCTTATCCCTCTCCGTATTTTTCCTCGTCAGGTACTTCTCCGAGCCCGCGACCAATTTCTCCGCGTCCTTCTCCAACCTTACCCCCGCCGTCGCCGTCTCCGTCTCCGCCGCCGCCGCCACTATCAATACCTCTACAGACGTAACAAACCCGCCTCAGTGCTCGGCTTCTCCGCCCCCGCTTCAGTCGGCTTCTCCTCCCCCTGTGCCCACCGTTTCTCCGCCGCCTAGGCAGGCAAGGGATTTCTTGGAACGGACGGGGATAATCGACGAGAATGGCGCAATGTCGTTCGACTTCATTGTTGGGGATTACGACGAAACCCTGTTGGAGACGGTGGTGAATGCGGGGCGGGGAGGAGCAGAAAGTGATGAGATTAGAGGGTCATGGAAGGGCAAATTTGGGAAATTCAGAGCTTGTGATGAGAGTATGAGTGGGTATATTCCTTGCTTGGACAATGTGGAAGCTATATCCAAGTTGAATTCGTCGGAGAAGGGAGAAAACTACGAGAGGCATTGCCCGGAGAAGGGGAAGGGACTGGATTGTGTTGTGCCCTGGCCCAAAGGCTATAGAATTCGAGTCCCTTGGCCAAAAAGCCGAGATGAGGTACTACATTCTGCAATCAAATTTGCTAGCTCTTTCCAATTTCTTGATGTTTCTAATTTGATTCTAGTGGCATATGTTTCTCAATTCACTGATATAAAACAAAATTGAGTTATCCCTTGCTTAAATATGGAGCTTTATCTGAGCTCTAATGTTTCTATAGGTTTGGGTTTCTAATGTGCCTCACACCTCGTTGGTTGATGACAAAGGAGGGCAAATTTTGATCTCAAGAAAGAAAGATAAGTTCGTATTTCCTGAAGGAGGGACACAGTTCCCCCATGGTGTAAAACAATATTTGGATCAGATATCCAAGGTATGTTGTTTTTTGTAAGTTATATATGCCCATCTGGTTTGTTTTGCCATATTCGCATGTCTTTATTCCATTCGTTTCTATTCGATTGCAGATGGTTCCAGAAATTGCATTTGGCCAGAACACACGGGTTGCCTTGGATATTGGTTGTGGTGTAGGAAGCTTTGGCGCCTATTTGACAAAGCACAATGTAGTCACTCTGTCCATAGCTCCCAAGGATGCTAACAATAACCAGATTCAGTTTGCACTTGAACGCGGTGTGTCTGCCATGGTTGCTGGGTTTGCAACGCGTCGTTTATTGTATCCTAGCCAGGCATTCGACTTGATACATTGTTCAAGATGTGGAGTGAAATGGACCCATGACGGTACGTCCTCTATCAAACATGATCTTTAGTGTATTGCCTTTTTCATGTTTTCACGAGCTTTACTATTCAAAGTTCTTGTGTTAATTTTGATTGCGGTGGGTAAATTTCATTGTGGTCCTGGTAATAATGTCTTTGTTTTCTTTGGCTTGTGGTGAAGATGGTATTTTGCTTCTTGAGGTAAACAGAATGCTTAGAGCAGGAGGATACTTTGTTCTGGCTGAACAATATGTTGACGAACAAGAAAAGTTAGAAGAACAATGGAAAGGTAATTTTGTTCTGTACATTGTTTTAGACCTTAATTTGTCTTGAAATTTCTTTCACTCGTGTCCTATTATGTCTCAACTGATAATACTAATGCCACTGTACTGAACTTCGTTTTCCTGTTACAAATTTCCATCATTTCGCAGTTCTCTAATTGTTTATTGCATTTCCAAAGTGCAGAAATGGAGGATCTTGCAGGTCACCTTTGTTGGGAGCTTGTGAAAAAGGAGAGCAACATTGCAATATGGCGGAAAGCCTTGAATAACAGTTGTTATCTCAACCGTGATCCTACTGCAAAGCCTTCATTATGTGGCACTGACGATGACCCAGATGATGTCTGGTATTTCCTGTTTACCCAGATTTACTTCATACATTTGTCCAATGTAGTTAATCCCATCTCTTCCTTAAAAATTGTAGTTATTTCTGTTACAGTTTATCCTCTTTAATACATCTGACATCTGTCTGGGATTCATTGCTTTTTTTGAAATTGTGATGAATTATTGTTTTAACGTCAGTTCACGTGGTGTTCTCTTGCAGGTATGTAAATCTGAAACCATGCATCTCTCGTTTACCCGAAAATGGCTATGGAGCTAATATCACTGCATGGCCTGCTCGCCTAAACTCTCCACCGGACAGACTTTTCAGCATCAAAATGGATGCTATGTTGTCTAGAAAGGAAATTTACAGAGCAGACACGAAGTATATGAATGATATTATACGGGGATATGTTGGTGCTTTCCACTGGAAAAAGTTGAACCTACGAAATGTAATGGACATGAAAGCTGGATATGGGGGGTATAATATTTTATTTTCCAGTTTCAAGTTTGACTGTGAATGTTGTGACTTAGATTCAACTGTGGCTAATTTCTGTGACCTCTTTGGCAGGCTTGCAGCAGCTTTAGTTGATTTTGAGATCGATTGCTGGGTTATGAATGTTGTTCCTGTCAGCAGTTCCAATACTCTGCCTGTTATCTATGACCGTGGTCTTATTGGCGTGATGCATGATTGGTAAGCGTTATGTACTTCCCAAATTCAAAGTAAATGAGACTGTTAAAGTGTTAAACAAACATAATCACATCAGTGTAATTGGTCGTTTCTTAACTCTTTTCCCTTTGAACTGTATCCAGGTGTGAGCCCTTCGACACTTATCCAAGAACATACGATTTACTGAATGCAATCGGGCTTTTCTCGGTGGAGAAGAATAGGTAATCCTCATTTGAACGTTTGAAATGTGACTTTCTGTGTCTGGAAATGAGTTGTGTCATAGTGATACATTTATTTATGCAGATGCAATATATCGAACATCGTGCTGGAAATGGACCGAATTCTGAGACCTGGAGGAAGAGTTTACATCCGTGACCTCACACCCGTGATCAATGAATTGGAAGAAATTATACGTGCAGTTGGATGGGTGATGTTCAGATATGATGACAGTGAAGGCCCTCATTCTAACTGGAAGCTTTTAACATGTGAAAAGCGCATGTAAAAATGTGTGTGCTCCCAGTCCCCCCTGCCGCTTATTCTTTCCTTGTTCCATTTGTTGTTATTTCTATTACTGTAGGAAACAAAAGAAGTATAGAGAAGTAGGATAGGAAGGCTGAAGACACTGGATTTAATAAGGTGTATCGTCAATGTGTGTAAATGGATTTCATATTTCGTTGATTTACGAGAAATTAGATGAAAGTATGTTTTGGGTGAACCTGTGATTCAATCGATTACTGAGACTTGAACTCACAATTTCTCATAGAAGAGAGATTAGGAATTTGGTGTCATTGGCCCACGAGGTCTTTGGCGATTTTGATTTATACTACTTTATAGAATGTTAAAGAAAAGCAATTGGTTAAAGTTGCTCTATTTGCAACATGAGCCTGTTATGCTTTTATACATGACTTACAAATATTTTTATCATTTAAATTTTTAACTACTTTTTTTTTTTTTTTTTTTTTTTTAATTTGAAATATTTTATGAAAAGAATTAAAAATTGTAATTTCAAAAATAATTGGGCTAAAAATGGTATTTTTCTTATCTTATCAAATTACTGAAATAAAATGCTCTCAAAAAACAATTCTCTATGTGGCGGTTTGTGAGTGGCTGAATATTACTTAAAAAATAAAATTCAAGAGTCATTAAAAATTGAAATAATTAGAATTAAAAAAAAAAAAAAAAAAAATCAAAGCCCCTCTTCTTTAGGGTTCGGCGCCAACACTCACTCCTCCATGCTGCTGCAGCTCCCCTGCTTGAACGGGCGAGCCACAACACAGTCGTCCAAAGCTCTCTCTCTCTCGCCAACGTCTGCCGGAACAACGTTACTGGCTCCTGCTTCTTCCGGCTGGTGACTCCACTTTCCTCAATATCTTAGAGAAGCTCGGAAACTGTCTCTGAACGGAGGTATCTATTCTCATATGCACTAGTTTTTTCTTTTGTTAATGGGCGTCTCAGTTGGAACTATGTTTTTTCACCTACTCATGAGATTTAGGGATGCGTTGTGCCTTCCAAATTCTAGCTAGTTCACATTGGTCACCAAGTCCTCCCGGTTAGAAAATTATAATCTATTATTAGTATGTATTGATTATTTTATGGACTACTCTCCGGATTTTTTTGGACTATCATGGAGTCACGGAGGTGGGGAATGATCCATGCTTTAGTAAACACGCTTCATTGATAAATAAAAGTGATAAGATAGTTTGTGATTTTGGTGCTTTTGCTATCAAGTGTCTACTTTCAGTTGATAACGTTTCTTAATATGTCATTTGCATGCCTTTTGCTGCAAATGTATGATTGGGTAGAATTTGAACAATGATAGCTAGTGTGTAATTCTGATGTTATAATCTTATAATTTCACTTGTGGGAATGTGGGATTACTGGTGCAAGAGGCCAATTGGAAACTTTTCAGGAAGGCTGCACATTTATATGTTGTTTATATTTTCCATTTTATGCAGCTTTTCATTTATTTATTTATTCCTTCAAATTTAGGGAAATTTGGAATTATAGTGATTTCTTTACATTATTTTTCAATGGCTAGCTGAGAGTATAGTGATTTATTTGTATTATGCTAGATGGAAGCTATTATTATCACTTTTCAAGCTTGAATGTGAATAACATTTAAAACCCACATTAAAGTCATGGTAATATGTTAAATTTTTTACTCTACCTTGCAACAGTTTAAGTTTCTACAGATCAATACAGTGTACAATTGAGCAATTGCTTTTCAAAGACATTGTCTGATTGGGGGAGTCATTGTTAGTGCCTAGTGTATTGCATTTAATTCAGGTTTAGACGTTTAGTTCATTTTCCTTCATCATTTTTTGCTGACCTTTAATAATTCCTTGATTCAGCTGTGTTTTTTTTTTTTTTTGGTGGCTTTTTAGTTCCTCACTTCCTTGTGTGGATCAAGAAACCGTAAAACATACGATTCTGTCGGTTTTTGTTGTGTAAACTTGAATTCCTACAAAACCACTTAGGGCCTTAGGATTTTCCTGGTTTGGCTGAAGAAAAAGGACGCCCACTTTCCATCTCTTCCTCAATGGGTTCAAGGAGAAAAGGTTTGATTTTGTTTTTGCTGTTTGTACTATAGACAATTTTGTATGAATTTCAGATTTATGTTCCATTATTATTCTTTTGTATATATGCTTTGTTTATTTAAATTTACACAATTTTACTCTTTGCAGTTAAACTATCAAGTAAAAAGGAACCCAAGGGTGAAGACAACCAAACTGACACTATGCCAGACTCAACATCAAAGAAAACGGCTAGAGAGCATATGGAACAGTTGGAGAGACTCCAAGAAAAGGTTATTAGCGAAACCAATTTGCACTCGATAGAAGCTAGTCATATATTACACTGTCGAAAACTCAAGCTTATTGGTTGTAATACAAGCTGTTTTTAGTTTAGTTAGTGTAATATGAATTGGTTGAACATTCAAGTGTTTCACATGTTGAGTAATTTCTTGTACAGGATCCGGAGTTCTTTGAATTCTTGAAAGAGCATGACAAGGAGCTTCTTGAATTTAATGATGAGGAAATTGATGTAAGTCTATTATCCTTTGCATTTTTCTTCCTCTTTTGCCAATTGAACTGTTAATATAACTGCATATTTACTTGGTGCAGGATGATGAAGAAATTGAACTCGATGATGAGGCAATGGAAGATGAGAAGGAAACTGATGAGCTTGAGATGGAGCAGGCTTCTAGGGAACAATGGAATAAGTCCGTTAAAAATGTAGTTACTAGTGAAATGGTTGATTCTTGGTGTAACTTGATTAGAGAAAAGAGAAACATAGGGGCAATCCGCTCTCTTGTGAGAGCATTTCGTTCTGCTTGTCATTATGGTGATGATAGTGATGCTGACCCTACATCAAAGTGGAGTACTATGTCTAGTGGTGTTTTCAATAAGATCATGCTATTTGTTTTGAATGAAATGGATGGAATTCTTCGTGGCTTGTTGAACTTACCAGCTTCTGGGGGTACAAAGCAGATGGTAGAAGATACAATGACTACTAGGAAGTGGAAAAACTTCCAAAACTTGGTGAAGTCTTATCTGGGAAATGCTCTACATGTTCTCAACCAGATGACTGACACTGAAATGATTTCATTTACCTTAAGGAGATTGAGATACTCATCTATCCTTTTAGCTGCTTTTCCAGTTCTTTTGAGGAAGTACATTAAGGTATTCATTCATGATATATTGAATTTGGATAAAATTGAGAAATGGTCTAAACTTTTAATCTTTTACTTGTCAAAGAATTGATGATTTGATTTTTGCTAATAGCTGTATACCTTTTTCAAGCATCATTGTTGAGAGCTTATACTGCTTTTCAGGTGCTTCTTCATTTTTGGGGTACTGGAGGAGGGGCATTGCCAGTTTTCTCTTTTTTATTTTTAAGGGACTTGTGTATCGAGCTTAGTTCTGATTGCATTGACGACTGCATTAAAGGAATGTACAAAGCCTATGTTTTAAACTGTCAATTTGTCAATCCAACAAAGCTTCAGCACATTCAGTTTCTTGGTAATTGTTTCATTGAACTTCTAAGGGTGGACCTTTCCACTGCATACCAGCATGCCTTTGTTTTCATTCGGCAGTTAGCAATGATTTTGCGGAAGGCCCTTGATTCAAAAACCAAGGTATTATTTCTGGTGCTGTGCATTTTTCTATAATGCTATGGAATAATTTGATACTAAATTTACATTTACTAGTAGGCTATCCTGTTGTATTGATATTTTTGTTGGTGAAAATGTTTATCTTATTGCCTGAAACATAGCTAGTCACTTGTCTACATGGTGAACATTTAAATCCAATATTAACTTTGAAGTTATAATTTGATATGTAAATAGCTCAACAATCTTGGTATAAAGAATGCAATACTTTTGTTCTCTGATTTCGCTTCTAAAATTGCTTGTCTGTTAGTCCGTTAATGGTGCTAATTGTTCAGAGGCTAATCACTGAAATATATAGTCATGTCTTATATGATTCTCAACTCTATGTCTCAGGAATCATTCAGAAAGGTCTATGAATGGAAGTATATAAACTGTCTTGAACTTTGGACTGGAGCAATATGTACATATTGTTTAGAAGCAGATTTCAGACCACTTGCTTATCCATTGACTCAAATTATATCTGGAGCAGCTCGTTTAGTTCCATCTGCTCGGTATTTCCCTCTTAGACTGAGATGTGTCAAGATGCTCAATCGAATTGCTGTTTCCACTGGTTCTTTTATACCTGTCTCTCTGCTCCTTTTGGACATGCTTGAGATGAAAGAATTGAACAAGCCTGCAACAGGAGGAGTAGGCAAAGCTGTTGATTTGAGTTGTGTGATAAAGGTACTTCAGTGTCACAGTTCTTTATTTCTTCCAGTTAGTAGCCACCACTTTTGTAACTCATATCTATATTAACTATAATTGACTGTGCATTTTAATATTGATAGGTGACGAAACCCACCTTAAAAACTCGAGCATTTCAAGAGGCTTGTGTTTTTTCAGTGGTTGAAGAACTTGCTGAGCATCTTGCTCAGTGGAGCTACTCTGTTGCCTTCTCTGAGCTGTCTTTTGTACCTGCTGTTCGGCTACGCAGTTTTTGCAAGTCCACAAAGGTTGAGAGGTTCCGTCGAGAAATTAGGCAATTCATTCGTCAGGTATACCTGCAATTTCTATGTTTTGAATATAGTTGTGGCTGAATTGTCTCTAAATGAATGTTATAGAAATACACCTATGGCATTTTCTACTTTGGTTTTTATGCACATTGATTAGCTGTTGATATAATTTAATTTAATCAATTGTCATAACTATAAATTGTGATGTTTTGAGTTTTAAATGTCACAGGTTGAGGCAAATTCCGAATTTACAAATAAGAAGCGTATGACTGTTACATTTCTACCCAATGATTCAGCTGCATCATCTTTTCTTGAGGTTCTATAATTCATTTTCTTGCTATCTCTTTTCCTAAACAGCTAAACCAATCTTTTCTGGTCAATGATGTCTATTATTATAATGCTAACTGATTCCTTAAATAATGTGTTAAATTTGACTTCCTTCATTTCCAAGCTTTCATCTCATTATTAACCAAATTATTCTCTAAACTTACTATATTTGGAAGATGTCACCATTAATAATGATTGCATATAAGACATTTGCCAATATCCCATTCCTACATGGCATGAGATTACTAATACTGTATGAAGAAGCTGTCTATATTTTGTTGTAATAAAAAACAAAGTTATGCTAAGAATGTATGAGTTCCTTATCTAATAGTTAAATATAAAAATTGGGTAATTGAACAGCCTGTATTCTTAGTGAAGGGCTCAAAGTTCCATTATTGACATCATCTGTCATTTCAAATGCATTATCGTAAAATGTTATCATGGAAGTCATTTTACTTTTCAATTGTAGGATGAAAAAAAGGCAGGCATTAGCCCTTTGTCAAAATATGTTGGCACTCTTCGCCAGAGGGCACAACAAAGAAGCGAATCTTTAATTGAATCGAGGTTCAGTATACTCATCTTGATTTGCTACTCTTAGATCATCAGTTAGGTTAGGAATTCATGAAGAAACTCTATGATTTCAGTGTTATTGTTGGTGAACGTTCATCACTATTTGGAAGTAAGGTGATGGAGGACGTTGACGATGATGATGATAGGGAAGACAAAGGTGATGCTATCTTCAATTCGTCTTGGCTACCAGGAGGCAATTCCAAGTACAGTCACTTTCCCATGTTTTTTGTATTTCTTTTCTTTCTCCCATAATGGGCGCTTGGGTACTTTTTCAGTCTAGTCACTTTGTGTGTTCAAGGTTTTATTTATGATTTTAACTCGATGATTCCTGTATAGGACAAAGCACTCGAAAGAGAAGAAGACAAAGAAAAGAAAGAGGTCAAAGGATGGCGGTGTTTCTGATGAAGACATCGTGGAGGATTTGGTGCTTAGCTCTGATGAAGAAGGTTCCATGAGCGACACACCTACTGAAGACATCAGCAAGAAGCCGAAATCAACTGTAGAGCCATCTAAGAAGAAAGGTAAGTTTAAGCCAAAGAAATCAAAAAAGAGAAAGCCTTCGAGTTAATCAATTATCAAATTCATCGACATTTTTGCTGTGCTTAGGATTTTATAAAACAAGAAATTTCTTTGTAATGTTGCTCAAGCCCAATTTTGAGAAAATGAGAATCTAGTCCTAATTTTGCTTTTTGTTTTCTCTGTTTTAATGGTCATTCTGTATTACACTTTAAATTATTTATTTGACCCCTTCTGATATTGGTGCTAAGTAAAGAAAAAATTGTCAAAGTTGGTATGTCTGAGGTCTTGACCTGATGTGAGGTATGGTTCTCCATCAGGGGCAATTTTGGTTTGGGTGTGGAAGCTATTTCATAATTGTATTTAGAGTTATTATTGTTATTGATTCTAATTATAATTAGGGCTCTAGACATTGTTTGTTGGGTGTATTCTTTAATCATGGCCTATTCTTTTTTGTAGCACATGCACAAGCTTATATTGAATTTTCATATATATTATAACAATGAATTGTTTGAGGTAACAATAATGCTCAGGAATAATTGCAATTTAGTTTCTTTAAAAAAAAAAAACAATTGCAATTTAGTTTCTAAGTTTTGCTTAAATTGATAACTTTCTTCCTCTTTTTAAAAATAGTTTCTGAGTGTTTAAAGCTGAAAATACGTGTGAGTGCGAATTGAATCGGAATGTTGATGATGTGGGTTGGCTTGAAGGTGAATGTTGGGCATTTATAGTTGCAGAGGAAACAAAATTTAAAAACAATAAGGGAAGTCATAAGTGGTTTTGGTATTGGTTTTTCGTACCAGGGTTAGACCGCTGAAGCATCATCATATATTCATATGGGTTGTCAACGGTTTCAATAGGCTCCAAAATCTGAAACTTTCCCAAAGTTTTGGTTCATGGGTTTTGGCTAAGGCATATGGTTTTCCTTTTTTCCTTTTTTTTTTTCTTAAATAAAAACTTTGGCAGGATACTTTTTTTTTTTGGAAAATTTGGCAGGATACTTTTCAATCAGTCTGTTCATGAGTTGCTAATAAGTATTAAAAAAATTATTATCTCAAAAGAAAATTGGTATAGGTAAATTTAAAGGAAAAAAAAGTAACAATTTTTTGGTACAAAATATTTTTCTCGGATTTTACACGATAGCTGCTGGACAAAATAGTAGAATGATACGGAGTAAATTAATGTGACTTAGAGCAACCACACCAATGCATAATGGGAGAATAATGTCAAAAATTTGTGTCATGTCGAAGAAAGAGAAGGAAGAAAGAGAAAAATGGGATCCTCCTGCAAATGTGGGGAGATTTCAGAAATGTGGGACCCACCACAATTTTTAACCAGGTGTGACAGCCATACGTGGCTGTCACCTCTGCGCCCAGCTGGCGCGTGCACTAGGCGCGCCTGACCGTCTTTATTTATTTATTTTTTTTTAAAAATTTAATTTTCCTTTTTTTTCCTTTTATTTTTCTTTTTTTCTCTCCCCTCCCATCTTCTCTTTCCTAATCACTCTTACATTATCCCCTATTCTCCCCAACAAATGTGGATGCTCTTAGCGATCATTTAGGACTGTTATGACTTAATTCTGTATGTTGTATTACTCAATAATTAACTAAATTGTTTGTGCCAGTAAAATAATATTTTTTATTTTTATTTTATAGGAGGTAATACATACGTTGATTAGCACTAGGGTCCTAGCAGCCTGATAGTAATATATTCGTTAACATGGAACTGTACGATGGCTATTTGCTTTCAAAACTAAAAACCGGCTGATGGTTTTTCTTCCGCTGATTAAACCTTTATTCTCTCTCCTTTAAAGAAAATTATTACGAAATAATATATGTTGATAAAAATTTGTGTGAGACCATTTTACGAATCATTATTAGTGAGACTGTTTAGGTCAATATAAAAATGTAATAATTATATTAAAAATCTAATACTTATGCTGAAAAATATAATATTAATCAAGGATAAAACTTTTGTTACTTATAATGGAAAGTATAATACTTTTGAAAAAAAAAGTATTCCATAATACTTTTACATTTTGATTTAAAAGTATTATATTTTTTTAAAAGAAAAAGTATTACACTTCCTCAATTAAATTGATGAGATCGATACTAAAAAGGTTCATGATTATTTTTAATTTAAGTATAGAATTTTTGGAGTGTTTTATGATAAGATTTAAGATAATGTGGCTCATATTTGCAATTTTTAGAAAATTTAAAATAAAATATAATCTTCAATCACAAAAACTTGTAATAAAAATCTATCATTTTTGAATGAATTTAAAAAATTGTATAAAATAGACTCTGTAGCACGAAAACAAGAAACAATAAACAGAAAAACTAAAATTTTAAAAGATATAGGTGACAAAACGTGGGAAAGAAGAAGAATAATGAATAATAATAAACTTTTATTACATATTTCTGATGAACTAATTGAATTAAGGTCGCCAAGACCTTGTGGTCTAATGAAATTTGTGTTGGCTCTTTAAGGTCGCCAAGACCTTGTGGTCTAATGAAATTTGTGTTGGCTCTTTGTACTTTAGTAGGTTGATAAATATTTTGTCTCAATTTAAATAGCAAAGCTTTATATCCAATCAGGTGGAATCAATATTCCAATGGATGTTTGCCCATATTCCACCCAACCCCATTGGACAATTGTATGACCATTATATTATATTTCTTGTGTTTTTAATCATACAACTTGCTTTATTAGTCAAAGAATCATTTTAATTTATGTGGCTAAAAAATTCATTTGCTAAGCTTTTTTGAGTAAGAGTGAAAATTTGTGAGTGTCTAAATTAATTTTACTATAGCAAAAATATTAAATATTGTATACAAAAATTCTTATGAGTGTATTATTAAAATTAAAGGTATAATTCTTGTTAATACATTTTGGATAGAGCCTGTCGCACAAAATTTTATAGCACAATTCACATTTGTTCTATGTGATTTGAAAGTATTACTCGTCACAAAAAGAAAAAAAATAATCTGATTTTTACTTTTTTCACTGAGAAGCCATTGGCAAAGGAGGTGGGGACACGTGGTGAAGTGTAGGAACCTAACTAAAACCGAAGGCGCCTACAGAAATGAGCACACTGTGAAAAGACAAAAGTATGAGTAGTTTTCTAGTTTTGTAGGCGAAATGCGTAATCGAAGGAGAAGGGCATTCTCGTCCGTGGAAGTTTTGAAGCGGTGCAAGTTTCGCGCAAACTCTGCCACGCTACTGATCTGAGTATATAATACATGCTCTGGAATCATCTGCATTCATCACAATATACATACAGATAATACATACAATCACACCGAAATACAGAAAGCTATGGCTGCTAACACTGCTGGTCAGGTCATTCGCTGCAAAGGTGATTGCTTTACCGGATTTCAATATCGTTTTTTGGTTTTATGTGATTATGTGATGTGATTTTGGGTGTTTCTTGATTTGGTCTAATGGGATTTTGCTTCTTTTTTCTTTAATTTTATTCAACCACTCCATGGATCGGATCTGCTTTACTTTGTGGTTGTTTTAATTTGTTTATGAATGCATATGCATGATTGATTATGCGGAACATGATGGTTTTGCAGCTGCGGTGGCATGGGAAGCCGGAAAACCTTTGGTTATCGAAGAAGTAGAGGTGGCGCCGCCACAGAAAATGGAAGTCCGTTTGAAGATTCTCTACACCTCCCTTTGCCACACTGATGTTTACTTCTGGGAAGCCAAGGTAAGATAACTTTTTTTTTTTTTTTTTTTTTTTTGTGGGTTTCATATTTTATTAGATTAATTAGCGTTAGTAATCATAATTAATTAGCTACCATATATTCAATGCGCAATCTACTATTGCATATATTTCAAAGCTAGCCATACCAAATGGGTACATGTTTATGAGTTATTCCCCAAAATAGTATATTACTCCATTTAGTCATAAATAAATAAATTATTTGTTCTAATTGAATACTCAACTTTACTGATTTATAGCTCTTACATTTGATATTTGACTGCAGGGCCAAACTCCTCTATTCCCAAGGATATTTGGACATGAAGCTGGAGGGTAAAATCTAAAACTGTGTCAAAATGTATTATCATATCATGCTTGAATAGATAGCCTCTTATTTAGTGCATTCTGGATTGATTTCTGGGTTTATGGCACCTCGGTGGATCTTATTTTAGAGCTTATTACTTATTTTAACCTATAAATTCCACTTTTTTCTAAAGCATAGAGCTTAAAATGGAGTAGCTTATTTTGAAATGTTACTAGCTTTTAAGCAATTAAGCTAGTTATGCGAGCATTAAGTTGTTGTCTACTTTTATTGTGTTGAATTTAGGATTGTAGAGAGCGTAGGTGAAGGAGTAACACATCTCCAACCAGGAGACCATGCTCTTCCAGTGTTCACTGGGGAGTGTGGCGATTGCCGGCACTGTAAATCAGAGGAAAGCAATATGTGCGACCTTCTCCGGATTAACACTGACAGGGGGGTTATGATTGCGGATGAAAAGACGAGGTTCAGCAAGGATGGGAAGCCCATATATCACTTTGTTGGAACTTCCACCTTCAGTGAATACACTGTTCTCCATGCTGGTTGTGTTGCCAAGATCAATCCTGAGGCACCACTTGACAAAGTTTGTGTTCTCAGCTGTGGAATATCCACAGGTTAGAGTTAGAGATCGATCACATTAAATGGAAAGTAGACTAAATGTTATGTTCTTAGTGTTTACTAATCAAATGTACTTGTGGTGTAGGATTTGGTGCTACTGTAAATGTTGCCAAACCAACAAAAGGTTCGTCTGTTGCCATTTTTGGATTGGGAGCTGTAGGCCTTGCTGTGAGTACACTTTGGGCCATTGCCCTGTTTCTTTATTACTCAGTATTTTGCAACTTGATGTTTGTTCTAAGTGTTGTCTCTCTATTTGAACTATTAGGCTGCAGAAGGAGCTAGGTTATCTGGGGCATCCAGGATTATTGGTGTTGATTTGAATGCCAATAGGTTTGAAGATGGTGAGTTCTGCAATGCCACAAAAAATTTAAAAACAAAACTATGACAAGATCAGAGTTGATATTTTACCTATATATTATGTTGTATTCAAGATGATGATAATGCTCATTGGTTTTGTTAACCACAGCTAAGAAGTTTGGTGTTAATGAATTTGTGAATCCAAAAGATCACAGCAAGCCTGTTCAAGAGGTTAGTTGCCATTTTCTTGGTTTGAAATGTTGGCATTGATGTTTTGTTGGTTGTTTAAAGCTGAGCATATATTAATTTGCAGGTGATTGTTGAGATGACAGATGGTGGGGTGGACCGGAGTGTGGAGTGCACTGGAAACATCAATGCAATGATCTCCGCATTTGAATGTGTTCATGATGTAATTAATTATATTTAGTATCTGAATTTAAGATTGATTTGTAAGTGTGTGTTTCCAACTGAAAATATACGATGATGATGACAGGGTTGGGGTGTTGCTGTTCTTGTGGGGGTGCCAAACAAAGACGATGCATTCAAGACTCACCCGGTGAATCTGCTGAACGAGAGGACTTTGAAAGGCACCTTCTTTGGAAACTACAAACCCAGATCTGACCTCCCAGCTGTGGTGGAGAAATACATGAAAAAGGTATATATGTATGTTGTTTTTGTTGATGCATATGAATGAATGAATGAATAAATGAATATATGCATGCAGGAGCTGGAGTTGGAGAAGTTCATCACCCACCAAGTCACCTTCTCAGAAATCAACAAAGCCTTTGATCTGATGCTTAAAGGGGAAAGCTTGAGGTGCATCATCAAAATGGAACACTGATTCTTAGGTTCATCATCATCATTAGCTCTTCTGTGAAGAAGACATAGATGGCTGGCAGACTGTATCCCTACAAGTATGAGAGAGAGTTATAGAATTCTCTTACTGGAAAATCAACCTTAAACTTGCAACTTCTTATATTTATGATCTATTTTCATGAGTGTGTTCAACCAAATCCACTTTGTTTTTTTCCTTTTTTTTTTCTTGCACTACCTTAGAGGCCTAGAGTAACTATAATTAAAAACATTTAATTTTATAATTTAATTCGAGATGTTTAAGAATGTTATTTATTTGATCACTATTATTGTTCTTGATGGATCGCTACTACTTACTTAGTAAGTGTTACTGACTTACTGACAGGCTAGAAATTATTGACAATCGTAAAATTATGGAAGAAGAGGCAAGTTCATCTAAGGTTACTTTACTAAATATCTTTTTTCTTCGCTAAATTACTTCTCATAAATACCGAATAGGATCTTAATTCGGACTTCCGGCAGGCAATCTCCAATCTTAATTCGGAATTCCGGCAGACAATCTCCACTTCCTCTATCAGTTATGGGTAGCGTTTCAAACACAAGGAATCAAATGTAAACAAATAATGTCAACTGATATAGGTAGCGTTTCAAATACAAGGAATCAAATGTAAGGAAATAATGTTAACTGATAATTTCAAGAGGTCCATAAAAATGAATTACATAAAATGGGTCAAAGGATCTGTGAAGTCCGTGTACTATAGTGTTTTGTTCAATTTAGTCTTTCTATTTTAATTTTGTTCAATTTAGTCCTTGTACTTTAAAAAGTGAAACAATTAAGGACAATAGTTTATGTGGCGCTGACATTATCTCTGCCGTATCATCATACTTACATGCCAACTCATATATTATTTTATAAATATTTAAAATTAATTATTTTTACCACCAATATATTACATTAATATGTCCAAAATAAATACATAAATATTTGCTCACATAAGCTATTGTTCTTAATTGTTTCAATTTTTAAAATATAGGGACTAATATGAACAAAATTAAAGTAAAACGACTAAATTGAACAAAACAATATAGTACAGGGACCTCATAATTACTTTGACCCATAAAATGTGTCATCATACTAATAGATTTTTTGGGCTACAAATTTGTGTCTAATATAACGGTCATATTTGTGTATTGTCAAAACCCTATTAATAGTCTATGCTTACGAATACGAAAACGAAATACAAATTGTCATGCTAACACTACAGAACAGTTTGGTAATAATGAAATTAAAGAATTTACAATCCAGCATGATGTAATCCCTCATTTGTCTCTAATATAGCAATATAAGATCGGAAAAGGAATCAAAAAAGCTCCCCAATGCTGTAAAAAAAACTCTATCTAGACCACTTAAAACGGTAAGAAAGTGTAATTGAGTCCAAATATTACATGTTCAGTAGGTTTGATTTGGTGATGATTAGATTTTCATGTGTACTTTTGTTCAAATGCGGCACTTATTTAGTAGACAAATATAGCTTTCTTAGCAGTTGACGCACCTTAAGTACATAAACCATGCACATTAAGCACACAAACAAAGCACCTTAACAGGGTGTTTGGTTGGAGGGATTTTAAATTCTCTTCCCACTTAATTCCCACCTAATTCCAAAGGCCATTAAATTCCGTAGTTTGGTTAGAGGGAATTGCAATTCCATGAAATTGCAATTCCCCCATTTTCATGGAATTAAAATCCCATGTCCCCCCTGGTATTTTAATTCCTGGGAAAAAAAGATAGTGATGAGTCAAAATTACCCCTTTCTTTTTTAACCTAAAATTAATGTCTAACAACAATAATGAACATTTTTTACTTTATACTACTTATTCCCTTTCAATTCCCATGTATACCAAACATTGGAATTGAAATTCTCAGTAATTCTATTCCTGTCAACCAAACACTGTAATTTAAATTACCACTTTATTCCCAGTAATTCAACTCCCATGAAATTACAATTCTTTTCCCACATAATTCCCTCCCTCCAACCAAACGCCCTGTAAAGAACACAAACCACGCGCATCTAAAACTTTAAGTCGACGTACCTTAAGTACACAAATCACGCACCTAAGATTTTAAAATAACGCACCTTAAATTTCAACAACTCACGCACCTTACGCTTCAGGTTGACGCACCTTAAGTTTCAACAACTATTCACATTAAGCACACAAACCACGCACCTTAAGCACAAAAATCATGCACTTTAAGAAGGAAAATCGCGCACCTTAAATTTGACCTAGATGCAAAAATTACCAAATTGCCACCGCATTTTTTTTTTTTAAATTTTGTTAACCTTGAACGTTGATTTAAACAAGATCAATGGCTCAGATTTAATCGCACAATCACAGAAGAACTGAATTATATATATATATATATATATATATATATATATATATATATAATGGATGACCCTTATATATTGTCTCAAAATCCAAGTCAATGGAGACTCAGTAACAAGGGCGATCATGATCATCCTTCACAAAAGTTTAGTCATCACTAAATTAGAAGCAATGAATAATGGTTAAATAGGTCATTCAACTAGACATTAAAATGTAATTAGACTATTAAACTTAAAAAAATTACAATTGAATCTTTAAACAACGTAAATTCATACAAATTAGTCTAAAATAACTTGTTTACCTGTTAATATGTTGAGGTGTCGATTTCTTTATTTAAAAATATTTTTTAAAATTTTATTTAAATAATTTTAAATAAAATAATTATTGAAATGATTTTTTTTTTTTTTTAAAACATCCCCCAAGCTTGCCGAAAACAAAGGGGATCATCTTTGGCCCGAGACGATGCGGTCTATTTGTTTAACTAGTTACCAATTCAATTGCTTTTTTTTTTTTTTTTTTTTTTTTTTTAGAAAAATGTACAAATAGGTCAACTATTTGGGGATAGCAATTAAGTTATCTAACTCGAATAAGTTTTAATTCATCCCTGAACTCAAAAAAAAGAGCAATTAACATTTTTAGCTGGTTATAATAATATGTTTGTGCTGATTGAGATGTTATGTGTATACTTTATTTTATATTTTATTATTATTCTTATTTTTATTATTATCCTACTAAGCATTAAACTATCTTCCCCTAAATTAACCCAGAGTCAAAATAAAATAGGAAAATCCTATTTCTTCTTTTGTACCTGCGCAAATTTGTCGTCTATTGAAAATCCATGATGCTTTGATAGTTTGATGTATGGATTTGAGCTATCCTGGTTCCCGGCTAATTGAAAAATGAGATTAATTGCCAGAGTGAATATAACATTGGTAAGAATGAAAAGTGACTTATCTTGAATTCATTGGATGCATCAGGAAACATCAAATTAAATTATTATTATTATGTTGTTCTGTCCTGATTATTATTTCAATAATTATATTAGTTACCCCAAAGAATTGAAGAGATGAAAGGTAACAAACTTGCGAAGGGAGAAGAGAAGAAATAGGGCTTTCCTATTCCATTTTGACTCTCGGTAAATCCAGAAAGATTGTCAAATGTTTAGTAGGATAATAATAATAAAAATAAAATATATATGGCATCTCAATTCGCGCAAATCTGTTGTTAACCTGCTAAAAGTGTTAATTGTTTTTTTTTTTTTTTTTTTTCAGATTCAAGGATGAATTTGGAATTTATTTGAAATCAGTGGCTTAATTGCTATCCCCAAATAATTCAATGGCCTAGTTGTACCTATTTTTTTTTTTTAATGATTTAAAGGATCTTAATGAAAGTTTTTTTTTTCTAGTTATGAAATTTAATTACATAATTTATTCGGCTTATGAGGATTATTATACCTTTTTTCCTATGGTATATCTGTTAATTTCTTTTTTTTTTTTTCAAAGGGAATCTACATTATTTATACATGATTAGGTCATCTAGTACCATTTAATTTTAATAGATCCATATATAGTTACAAAAGTAAAGAAATTAAAAGATTCTCTGGTGACCTCTGAAGGTAATTTTTTAAGGCAATAATTATTTTGGATAAACTTTACTTTTTAAAACAAATTTTTTGTTGATTAAGTCATTGAGCAAATGTGATGTCAATTTACATTTGTTTTTTCTTGCCCTTGTTTGGTTTCTCGAAGCTCTTGATCCCTTGGGATCCTACGTGTTCACACCAATCGCCCATTAGCAGGTAAAATGTTAGGGGCTGTTTAGTTATATAAAATGTTCTTTTATTTTTCGAAATGTTTAAAGGTTTTATTTTTATTGAGATAATACAAATGGCACTTTTTTCCCCTTTGTTATATACTTATAGTACTTTTTCCCCCTAAATTATTTAAGTGGCAATTTTTCCCCTTGATATATTAAATGGACATATTTACCCTTAAAATAAATATTTCATTTATTTTTCTTCTCCAACAAATTACAACCACAATTTGAAAAAATAAAATACATTAAGTGTTAAATTTAGAATATTTTAAAAATAAAAAATAAAATTTTAAAAGAAAGTTTGAACCAACCGTTCAAATTGGATCCAAAATCTTGAACCGACGGTTCAAAATAAAACTCAAATCGCGATTATATATACATATATGTGAGAGTCAATATAAATGCGGAAAAAAACATACACTATTTGCAAATATTATAATTATAATTTAAGTTATTGCTAGTAGTTGTTCCGATTTGAACCTCCGGTTCACAGTTCGGGATCCATTTTTTCCAGTTCACGATTTTAATAAACGGAAACCCAAATATTGGGTTATGTTATGAATCATAACCGAAATTTTTTAATTTGATTGCTATAGTGTTTGGTTCAGTTCGAACCGAACCGTGGTCATCCCTACGTATAAGCAATAATTTGGTGAAGAAGAGAAATAAATAAAATATTTATTTTAAGGGTAGAAATGTCCGTTTAATATTATCAGGGGGGAAAACTGCCACTTCTATAATAATTGAGGGGGCAAATGTGAATGCATGAATAACTCAGGGGGAAAAAGTGCTATAAGCATATAACAAAGGGAGAAAAAGTGTCATTTTCCCTATGTTTTAACTCAATTATGTTTGAAAAAAGAAAATTAAATAAACTCTCAGAAAATATAATTAGATCTTTAAATTTTAAAAAAATTATAATTAAACTCATGATTCATTAATTTGTTACAATTATACTAATAGTGGTATAGGTCGTATGAGGTCAAATAGATTGTGGTGATAGTAAATTTAATACTAAATGATTATCAGTGTTAATCGTGGATAAATACATCATAGTGAGAAGTAGACAAGTAGTCGTGGTGTACAGTAAAGATATATAAGTAATAATACAACTAGATAGAAATGTAATTGATAACATTTTAAACTTATTATTACTATTTTCGATAATATAGAAAAGAAATAAATCTGATTATAAATGTGGTTACATCATACTAATATTGTTCATAAAAAATGAACCACACACCATATGAGGATCTACAGACCAAATTGGACATCATTCACATGTGATATCAACTAGTTTGCACATGGATTCATCTTCTATGAATTAAATAAGTTTAATTTTAGTGCTAATTTGTATTATCTTCCTATTTACTATAGGAGAGGACTCGGTTGAATTAATTATGAGAAATTGGGGCCAATTGCAAGGAATAAAAGTGCTTAAGTGAAAGACTCAATAAAATCTTTGGGGTGAATTTGCAATTACAATAAGAATTAGAGGGAAAACGCTGTTTTCAAATTTAGTTTTGTTTTAAAAATTTTTAAAACGTTGGAGATTTCGCTTTAACTCCTTTAATTTATCCGAAAATAGTATAAATATTGACAGTTAGCTGGAATCTTCCAAAACCGAACAGAAACAATAAACATAAACAATTATTGATTCATGGATAACTGATAACTCCAAGGTCAAATCTCCAAACGTCACAATCATCGATCTACTTGAACAAAACAAACAAAAAATAAAAAAATAAAAATAAAAAATAAAAAAACCTTCTTGCTGCACATTATACAGCTACTGATAGACGGTGTAAAACCCAGTACAAGATTTCTCTAGTCAACAGCTAGCTAGTACTGCAATTCTTTAGGATTTTTTAGCTCCTAGTTGGGTGATATGATGTATACATGTGTTTATATATAAATATGTGTGTGTTATTGAAACAGCAAGAATCAGGAAGGAATTGAATATAATGAAGAGGAAAAGGGAAATGGAGATGGGGGCTTCAGAAATGAAGTGTGCCATTGAAGAGCTATCCAGCATGGTTTTGATCAAAGGCAAAGCTGGTAGCGATTATGACACCACTCTGCATATTCCCACTAAGCCTTTTCTCTCTATCTGCAACTGCCTTATTCAGGTTCTTGGTTAGTCTCCCACTTCAAACACCTCTTTAATTTCTGCATTCAATTCATTGCTTGTATATATATATGAGTTGAATACATATATATACAGTGGTGTAATTAAGTTGGAGATTATTGTATAGTTATTGAGCAAGAAGAAGTTGAACTGCTGTGATTTTATAGAAATCTGGGTTGGTTGTGTTTTTCAGATAAGATTGGACCAACAATGTTTGTTCTGAGACAAGATGTACATCAAAATATCCAGGTACTACTTGAATATATCTTTTTGAATTTGAAATTTGTTTTTGAATCCTAATTTCTTGAAATAATATTATATATACCTGCAGAGATTGGAGAAGTTGTATGATTCAGATCCTTCATTGTATTCAAATATGGTGGAGATTTTGAAGAAGGAGAGAAATGAAGGAAGTGCGAAGAAGGGTCCCAGCTGCAGTAAAGCCTTGGTTTGGCTCACCAGGTAAGCCTTGATTGACTCAAAGTCAATCCTCTAACCTTATAGTTTGCATTAATTAAGGTAACTATTAGGTTAGCCCGTGACGGGATTAATTGAATGTTGTTTTACTTGCAAACTAGCTAGCTAGCTTTAAAGTGTAGGTGCAAATTGCAGATCACTGGACTTCACCTCAGCTCTGCTGAAATTACTGGTAGAAGATCCGGAAAGGAACATGGAAAAAGCAGTGGAAGAGTCGTATAACATCACTCTCAAGCCATGGCATGGTTGGATTTCTTCTGCTGCCTATGGGGTAAGCTCCTCTCGTCTCTACTGTCTTCATATATTCAATGACCCCAATCAAGTTATGTTGCTCGAGTTATTAACTTGGTAACTACAAGAAGATTACAAGTTCAACTCGAAACAGCTTATTAATTAGCTTTTTGATTTAAGCCAGTTAGCAATTTAGATTGATTTACCTTTTTGTGGTACTTTGCTGAATATGATAAGGTGAGATTTATCCAATGCACACCTTCCGATTGCGGGGTTAATTTCCCTCCTCATTCACTCATCAGAAGTAATATTGACTTCGAATTTCAGATTGACTATATGAATGTTGATGTGCAGATAGCCGTAAAACTTGTGCCAGACAGCACAAGTTTGATGAGGATCCTGATGAGCAAACAAGAAAATAACAGTAATGACAACCTTAACAAGGAAATCCGCACCGTGGTTTCATTATTAGTACCTGTTTTACAAGAAATTCACAATGTTCTGGTAATTAACTATTTGAAATGCCTTGAGCTCTTTAAAGCTAAGCTTGTTAGAATCTCCAATATGTTTTTTTTTTTGGAAAGACCCAATATGTATAGTTTATTTTGTTGTTTTGTGAGTGTAGGAAACATATGGTTTGAACAAGTTAAAAGCCACCTGAAGGAACTCAAGAAACTCAAAGTTGGTCCTACATTTTATCTGTGGAGTTCTGTTAGACAACTCCATCTCCTTTGCTTTAATGTACAAATGTATACAAAGTATATATGTATAAATATTTTTAATTTCACTTCTTTAATTCCTCCCACTTACTCCAATAAAGATATCCTAATATGCCCAATGGGAGATTAATACTTGCATAGAAGAGCGTAGCACACATTTAAAAAAGAATGGTAAAATAAGCCTTTAATTAATAACAATAGTGTAATTAAGTTTTTGAATTTAAAATAAAAATAAGTAAATTAATTAACTTATCAATGAGACCCTTAAAATAAAAAGAAAAATGTAATACTTAAGACCATTTTACATTATTATTACATGTTGTAGTAGGGTATCACTTATATATGTGTCAATAATAATAATAATAATAATATTATTATTATTATTATTATTGAATTTATATAAAATACTTATAGAAACTTGCCTGGCAACAAAAAATAAACGTCACAGGGATAAAGGGGAGGTTGGTCTGCTGTTACGACTATTTGAAGCAGGCTTGACAACCGCATAGAGCAAAAAATTATTCAATACCGAGTTAAAATACCCACAATCTTAATTTTGATGTATATTTTAAGAAATTTTAAAATGCCTTATTTGAGGTATTTAAGGATTTTAGAATTTTCAGTGAATTTTTCCAACAAGTTTAATTAGGTTAATCTTGTTTCTAATTTCTAATTTCTAATTTATTGTAAGAAATATGTATGTTAAATAAACTGTAACATAAAATCTATATGAAATGAATTAAATCAAGAAAGTCAATATTGTATTGCGCACACATATATTTATTTAAAAAGTCTACACTTTGAATCCATGATTCATACTATATTTTACAACAAATCCACAATGTTCTGATAACTCACAATCAACACTATAAAAATTTAAAATTTCTAGAACACCGTAAGAAATTTATTTATAACTTTCCTAAAACGGCATAGTTCTTATTATATATTATACTATATGTAGTATAGAGTGGCAATAATACTATACATTCCAGGTGTCAAGTAGTGAAGCTTGGCTACTTGGATGCCATGAAAGGACATGATGTTTGAGTTGTAGCTATTTCATGATCATGGGAGGAGCCACCCTTCACTAGTCCTCCCAGCAATTCTCCGCCGTCAAAGAACATCTCCGCCTTCACGATCTTGTTAGACTCTTCATCAATCTGCACCTCATTTTAAAATAAAATCAAACATAAAAGATACAGTACGTACAGAGAAATTAATTAATGTTGTTTTAATTTGTTACCTCAAAAATGCCCATTCCGAAAAATTGAGCAATTTCACCGGTAGGGGCATAGCCTTTGAAAGGACCCTCCATATAACCCCAGTGCCTGAAGCTGTACACAATCTTTGGTGGTCCAGAATAAACCTGCAGGACTTCAATGGCAAATCCGCGCCGAAACGCCGTTCGGAACACCAGTTGAGATGAGTCCGCTGTTTCAGTGTCGGGATTGTAAATCCTATATTTCTCCGGCAACGACGTCTGCAGAAACACATTGTAACTTCCCCCAAGAGCCGCACTTTCTTCCAGGCTCAACCCTTTCTTCCCTATAACACAAAACAACTTCATCAAGCCTAACCACAAGGTTTTAAGTTATATCTTTAATGGGAACCATTTATTAATTAAGTTTTATAATTTGAGTCTGTTAAATATGAATAAGGGAAAATTGTGAAAAATGCCCTTCTATAATAGGCTAATTATCAATGTCACTCATGAACTATGAGTGGTGTAAATGTTGCCCCTCAATTATTAAAACGGTGCACATATAGCTCCTCTCGTAACGGACCTGTGAATCCACGTTAGTCAACACCGTTTAGTTGGGGTAATTTAGTAATTTACTTTTTGTTTTTTCCTTTTTGTTTTATATTTTTCCTTTCCCTCCTATGATCGTCAATGTGCCGGTGATCCTTCATCAAGCATTCAAGCTTTGCCCACTGTCATCAACTCCGATTCCAGAAAAATATTCATCGGTGGCTACAAATCCTCGTCAACGGCGCGGCAGAGAAGTGGACGTACGCGATATTCTGGCGGTCGCTGGAGGCGGGGTTCGAAGGGCAGGCGGGGCTGGCGTGGGGCGACAGGTATTACAAAGGGGACGTTGAGAAGCCGACTGCAAGGCGTACGTCCTCGTCGGAGATAGTGGCGGAGCAGGCGCGGCAGAAGAGGATTTTCCGGGAACTCTACGCTTTAGTTGCCACCCCCGCTGCCAGTAGAGATGCCATCGACGAGGAAATCACGGACCCGGAGTGGTTCTTTCTCATCTCCATGAACCAATCCTTCCAAAACGATTCAAATCTTTCGGGTCACACGTTTTACACGTCCAACCGGGTATGGAACTCAGGCGCCAGAGAACTGGATTCCTCGCCGTTTGAACGCTCCAAACAGGGAAAGCGATTAGGGCTACAAACCATGGCCTGCATCCCTTCGCAAAACGGCGTCGTAGAGCTCGGCTCCACGGATTTGATTCTCCAAAACGACGCCCATTTGATTAACCAAATTGGGGTTTTGTTCAACTTTGACGAAAATAATGATACTAATAATAATTCTGCAATGGGTTTAACCTCGAGAAACTCCTGCCAGAGCAATCCGAGCACGATGGGCGAGGCCTGAATGCTTGATGAAGGATCGCCGGCATATTGACGATCATAGGATGGAAAGGGAAAATATGAAACAAAAAGGAAAAAACAAAGTAAATTACTTAATTACCCTAACTAAACGGTGTTGACTAAAGTGGATTCACAGGTCCGTTACAGGAGAGACTATATGTGCACCGTTTTAATAATTGAGGGGCAACATTTACACCACTCATAATTTAGAAGTGACATTGATAATTGACCTATTATAGAGGGGCATTTTTTAAAATTTTCCCTATGAATAACTTAGACTGGTTTACATGTACTCTCACTTTCGAGTTTCTACTCCATTTTTTAAGTTCAATTCCACAAATTTAAGGATACCTCCATTCTAAACTTAAGATTCACATAAAAAAAAAAGTGTTCTATCTAAACTAATAATTGCACACTTAGACATAATATTTATTAGGATGAATCAACGATTTGGTCCCTCACTTATTCGCGACTTGTCAATGTTGCCCCTGAATCACGTATTCATCGATTTAGTCCCCGAAAATAATTGTTTTTCGTCAAATCAGTCCCTATGGCCGTATTCCGTCAAGTCTCAGGCGAGAGCTCCGATTTGCCATGGGCATTTTGGTCTTTTCACGCCTTCTTCTTCATTAACTCTGACCAAGCTTCGCCGGAGGGAACTCCATCTCTTCTCTGCTCGTCAAAATTAGCTCACCGCTCTAATGAACCTGCTGAATCGCCTATCAGAATCAATCAATTTTGTGCACACGACAAGCCCATTGGTTGAGAAGACAAAGTGGTGGAGGCTTGTTTTCGATCACCCAACCACAATTATTAGTTCATGGAGAAGAATATGGGAGAGAATAGTAGAAAAGGTGTACGTATTAGCAGAACCGTTCCGTTGAAATGTTGCCATTAAGAACTGTCTATATAAGGAGATCTCTCAGAGTCATATAGAAACATCAGGAAAAGGCTCCATCTTTGTTGATGAGATGATGACTGGAAACTTGTTGTCAGAATGTAAATTTTGCCACATTAATCCTCCTCAAAATGTCTGTAACATTAATTTTGCGGTTCATCACGTCTTTGATTACAACTGGTATGAAATGAGAAAATTTTGGTTCCAATATTGTTTGCCTATTTATTATATTAATCTAAGCAATACATTTCATACAAAATCTATATATACACTCAATACCAGCTAGATAGACACAGATTGATGGATGGAATCTTGGAAGTTTCTGCAAAAAAGTGTAATTTTGTCTCCATTGTAGAAGGATTACCTTCCTCTAAAGGCCATACACTCTCACGTCGATGTTGAAAACTACTCATAAATCCTATTGAAATGTAATACCACACATCTATTATACATGTCTAGATTGAGGTGTCCACAGAGTCAATCTCAACATAGCAGGGAAGCTGAATACGGAGTAATTCTTTACAAGCATAAAAATATAAGTTAAATTCCCGAATCAAGATTTAATTTCTTAAATGCATACAATTGTAGAAGCCTTACCTGACAATCCATATCAGGAAACTGGGTTCGAAGCTGATCAAATAGGCTCGTCGGCGACGGCGCAACCGAGAACCGAACCAGAGAAGTGGAGGAAGAGCGGCGTATTTCTTGGAAATCGGAGGTGAAGCTGACGTCGGCGACGATGGAATGTCGTCGAAGAAAGATGAATCACTACGGCGGTGAACTAATTTCAACGAGCAGAGAAGAGATGGAGCTTCCTCCGGCAAGCTCGAGCTTCTCCGGCGAAGTTTGATCAGAGCTAATGAAGAAGAAGGCGTGAAAAGACCAAAATGCCCAGGGCAAATCGGAGCTCTCGCCTGAGATTTGACGGAATACGGCCATAGGGACTGATTTGACGAAAAACAATTATTTTCGGGGACTAAATCGATGAATACGTGATTCAGGGGCAACATTGACAAGTCGCGAATAAGTGAGGGACCAAATCGTTGAATAAAAGTAAGGGAATAGAATTTAGGAGTACCCATAGTAGAACTGATGTTATCACATCTTTGCTTGTTTTTATAGTTATTTTGAATCACCTCAGTATTTAAGTTCTTTAATTTTGCTTATTTAATACCTATTTTCCTTGCTATTATCATTTAATTATGGTTCACACTTGTTTTGAATGTTTTACGGTGTTTGTTAGTGTTTTTGAACCATTTTAGGTCAAAGATATGAGCAAGGGAAGTTCAAGGATGAGTTTTGAGCAATTTTGGACGAGTTCGGGGCCCAGTGGACTCGACGCGTCGAGCCCTTGGCTCGACGCGTCGAAATTTTCCAGTAGCTAACTAATTCGCGCACAGGAAGTCTCGACGCGTGGAGAAAATTCTCGACGCGTCGAGAGAATAGGCGTCTATTTCTGGGATAAAAACAGACGCTTAAAGTGGCGCAGCTGGGCGAAATTCAATACAAGTGCGAGATCTCTTTTCCTAATATCAATTGCGCGGATTTCAAGGCTCATATCTCCATATTAAAAGTTAGCAATTCAAGGAATCTTCCAAATTCTAAATATCATTAAAGACGACAATTTCTTTATTTAAATATAGGAATTAGAATTTGAGTCCAATTTGGTACAAGATTCCTATTTCATCTCAACTTTGTACCCACTATAAAATCCCTCATTCCTCAACCCTAATGTGGGAGACTGGAAACCGGAGAGAATTCAGAGATTCTTGGAGACAAGAAGGAGAGAAATCAAGAGCCACAAGTTGTCTTGGAAAGCAAGAAGAAGACTAGGGAGATTTGGGAAAATCGTCTGGTTAATTCTTGTACTCTTTTGATGATTTGTAATTCTTTATTTATATTTGCTATGTATAATTTAGTCATGCTTGGCTAAATTCTTTAGAGATTCTTGGGTAAAAGTGTTTATGAACCTATGTGCCTGAGCTCTCAGTTTCTTTAATATATTATTATTTGGGTTTAATACTTGTGTTGCAATCGTGATAATATTGTTTGATGCTTGTAATTAATGGCCATAGTTACTAGCTTCATAGCCATGTTTGTGTCACCAATGGGAGTTGGGGCATAAATTAGGGCACACACGATTGCACCTAATGGTTGGTCCTTGGGAAAGGGGAACTTATTAGGGGAAGTTTATTCTAGATTGTTGCCAATCGGGAGATGGTAGTAATTAGGAATAATTGAATGCTGATCTTTGATCTTATTGGGTGTTTAAGCCATGGGAGTGGAAATTCACTAGGAATAGAGATTACGGGAGTAATTCGATTCCACTTTGCATTCCCACACAAATCTTAATTCCAAACTAAATATTGCAAACGATAATTGGCACTAGGTGATTAAATACTTGAATCCCATGAATCTCAACTTCTCTCTAATTGTTTTCAAAATCCTGAACCTCTGTTTTATTTTTTATTTATTTTATGCCAATCAATCATCTAAGTAATTGTTAGGATTAGCTCTAATGAATAAGTTAGTAACTAGTGCTTGATACAACCACTTCCCTGTGGATCGATAACTCGTACTCCGAGAATTATTTGTTTGCAAATATACTACGCATCAAATTGGCGCCGTTGCCGGGGAGGTGGTGCTTCCAGTATTAACATTAGTGAAATCTTTATTCTAGGAGACTAGTTCATTTTTATTTTTTTTTTATTTTTTACTTTATTTTATTTTATTTTCCTAACCCATAACAAGTTCATTGTTTTGAGTGTGATTAAGTCTATGGATAGATATGCATTCCAAGGAACCATGCCACCGTTTTACCCTCCTTCTCAAGGTTATGAGATGAGTTGGAATATGAATCGAGAATATGGAGGAATCGAACAACAATTCCCTTTCTCAAATTTTGCCAACTCTAGTCAAGGATATTATCAAGAAAGTTCATATCAAACATCACAACTCCAATGGTGCTCATTTTGTGGTGGGAATCACTTTGTGGAAAATTGTTACATGCTCAACCCCACCAACCATATCCCTCAACAATCTACTCAAGGATTTTGTGCCAACATGAGTCAAGCTACTTATCAAAGATGCACACCACCTACTCCACAACCCTCATGGTGCATGATATGTGGTGGACCTCATGAGGCGGAAAATTGCTTTATCATGGATCCCAATTACAAGTATCAAGTGCGAGCTCAAGAGTTGCCGTACCAAGAGTTTCAACAAGATTGTCAATCACTTGACCAAATAATTGAGATGAAGTCCAAAGAGACCAAGACAATGAAATTGTGCCCGAAATACCTACAATCATATCACATAATAAACTTTATTATATTATTACAACTAATCAAATATCACAAATACAGCAAATATGTATCGCAATTAAATAAAAATATTGCATATATACATACATGAGTTCTCCCTTCTTCAAAGATTTTGTTAACGTCGTCATAGTTGGGAGGACCAAACCTCCATGTGGTGTTCTTGATATCCTCTTCACTTAGATAGTCCCTATACTTGTCACCCACAACTGCGGAGGAAGAAGAAGCCATTTCTTTATTTCTTTACAGATAGATGTGACGACTTCACTGGCCAATCATATATATATATATATATATATATATATATATATATATATAGAAGAATTTTGTATACATATATAACTAAGGTGGGCCACTTCAATGTTTGATATTTCATGGGAGAACCTGTACCAAACGTTTCTTCCTCCCCGGTGGCTTTGAAAGTTCAAATGAAATCGACAAATGAACGATAACAATTGAAGAGTTTTTTTTTTTTAAATAATAATTGAAGGGTTAAGATTATTCTTTGTAACGAATTACTCCCTCTATCCTCTATCTTATTTTAAGTGGCTGATTCTTTTTTGAAACACAAAGAATCAATAACACCTCCACGGCTTGAACTCACAAGCTTCCAAATGGAAGTCTAACCCGGGTGGCTGATTTAATTAATGAGGATTAATTAAAATTATTTTTAATTTAAACTTTTATAATATTATGTTTAGTATAAATATATAAAATGAGCAAATTTCATTTTTAGTCCTCAATTATTGTAGCATTACAATATTTAGTCAATTTTTTAAATTTTGTTATATTATATCTCTCACTTTGAACAAATTTCACTTTTAGTCATTGACTATTATGATATGAGTTAATACCCAAAATCATCCTCGACTATAGTGGTTTTTCTCAATTTCATCCTAAACGACTTTGGTGACCTAATATCGTCCCAGACTTTTGTGTGTTCGCTCAATTTAGTCCTCTATTTGTTATTCCGTCAAATTGGTGTTAAATTTAGGGACAATTCAATAATGTCAATATTGATCTCTCTTTACTTTCAACTTGTGAAGTGGGAAATTCCTCTTTCTTGTACGAATTACACCCAGAATTACTCCCGGACCTGCAAATCAAATTTTATATTCGCAGTTTTAGGAGTAATTCTGGGACTAATTTGTAAAAAAAAAAATGGATTTCGCAGTTCACATGTTTATGAGTAAAGAGATGCCAATATTAAAATTACTTAATTGTCTATTCATTTAACACCAAATGGATAGAATAACAAATGAGGGACTAAATTGAGCAAAAACACAAAAGTATGGGACGAAATTGAGCGAAACATAAAAGTCTGGGACGATATTAGGTCACCAAAGTCGTTTAGGACAAAATTGAGAAAAACCACTATAGTCGAGGACGATTTTGGGTATTAACTCATTATGATATTATCACATTTACTCTTATTCTGTTAAATTTTACCATATTACATCATTGACTTTGACTTTAAACAAATTACACTTTTAATCTTCAACTATTGTGACATTATCACATTTAGTCATATTCTTCTAATTTTGTCATGTTACAGCATTAGTCCTCCGTTAAAAATTGATCCGTTAATTTACTGTTAGAATTAACAAATAACAAAAGAAAAAATCTTCACACATATTATAACTTATATTTCGAACCCATTATAATTTACAAATAACAAAGCAAAAATTCATGACACATTATTATGTTAATTCAATTCACAATTTAACATAAGCATAATAGAACCCACCCATAATAAGGTGCAAAGTCCTCAACCAAACACACGTTGAATACCACAGAAATTAAAGCGTACATTTTTATGTAGAAAACATGATGAAGTTGGATAGGAGCACATTACTACTGTAGAATGAATACATTGACAAATTCCCATTCTGCAGTTATGGCTTATTGTTCAAACATTTATTCTTTTACTAGTAAATCAACCTGCAAAAAGCTAAGCTAAGCTCCTTTCATGAAAGGGCAAGCTGAAGATGTTGCAGCTTCATCACTGCTTCCTCCCTTGACCAGGGCTCCAAGAAGTTCTCCACGGTCAAAGAACAACTCTGCCTTCACAATCTTGTTAGACTCTTCATCCAACTGCTCAATATAATTATACCATTCAAAACGTTAGAGTTCAAAGCAAAAGAAAAATTGTAATGGTAAAGCCACAACATTTTTAAAAAATGGGTTCCTGATAGTGAAACAACATAACTGATTGGCTAAACCAAGAAGGCTAATAACCTTGTGATTGCATATGTATTATTCAATACAAAAGATGAGGTACCTCGAAAATGCCCATTCCAAAGAATTCAGCAATTTCTCCAGTAGGAGGATGGCCTTTGAAGGGGCCATCCATGTAACCCCAATGCCTGAATCTGTATGTTATTCGTGGCGGTCCTGAATAAACCTGGAGGATCTCGATGGCAAATCCACGAGGAAATGCATTCCTGAAAACAGCCTGAGATGAAACAAATGTTTCATCGGCAGGGTTGAATACTCGATATTTTTCGGGCAGAGAGGTTTGGAGGAAGACATTGTAGCTTCCTCCAATCTTGGCTGTATCTTCTAAGGATAGACCTTTTCTCCCTGCATAAAAACAGTACTCTTTATGGTATATGACTCTCACTGAAAAATGAAAATCCACCTAAAATACAGTTGTGTATACCATTGACGAAGAGTCTAAATTTTGTAGGATCAAGTGTCTTATAATCATTAGGATCTGCCTTGTGCACTATCTCCATCTCCCATGTCTTCATAAGCCTCTGCACTTTCTCCTCCAGTGATCCTTCAGGCCACACCTATTATAACACACAACCAGACAGTCTTCGTAACAACATTATAATCATATCCAAACCAACCTAAGTTGCATATAGCTGGCCAACTCAAATCAAGAAGGTCAGTAGGCAGATGGGAGTCAGACTTATCACCCTTTTAGTCACCAAATCAAGTGTATCTAATTTGGCCAAGTCTAACCAACTTTGCCAGGGTTATAGATGCATTTTGGAGCTTTTGGTGTATGGGATTGACGAGGAAAACAAGATCAAGTTGGTGCAATGCAAGGAAGAGAGTAAGAGAGTTAAGAATATAGAGCATACATGAGTTCTGCCCTCTTCAAAAAGCTTGTCTACAACATCATAGCTAGGAGGACCAGATCTCCATTTGGTGTTCTTCACCTCATCTTCACTGAGATAGTCCCTGTATTTGTCTCCACCAGTACCTGAACAAGCCATTTTAGTGGTCCTTTAGCCACAATGCCCTCCACCTACACCCACACCAACAAATACATTTCAGGCCACGCTTTAAAGAAGTGAATTCTTTAAATATTGAATTTTTCATTCAACAGTTAAGATAACACTGACCCATGAACAAGGAATCTAGTCTTTGCAGGTTGATATAATATTACACATTTGGCCTTTGGGGACTTTGGGCAGTGCAATGAAAGCCGCCATTCAAAAAATAATCTTCAATCAAAAACAACTCACATGCTAATACACCTACGAAGTTCAAGACTAAAAAAAACAAATAAATAAATATAGAAAACAATAATTAAGTTCAATACCCAAAAGCCAACTATAACAGATTCAAAGTTGATCCAACTATACAACAAAAAGACACAATTATTGAATACCTAATGAAGCCAACTGATTCACATGCACTTCCATTCATTTCACATAACATAATTTACACTTTCATTGTTTAAAATGTTCACTTATCAAAACACACATCAACCATCAATCAAACCCTACTATCTATACTCAATGTAGAGGTGCAAATCCAGGCTGCTGATCAGTCAAATTCAAGTTTGAACCAAACTCATTTTTAACTAAACCTAGCTTGAACTTAAATAATTTTGACTCTTGAGTATGTATATATATATATATATATATATATATATATATATATATATATATATACTCAAGAGTCAAAATTATTTAAGTAATGCATTAATTAACATATAAAATACCGTAATTACATTTTAAAGCTCAATCCGACTAGAACCAACCATGGTGCAGTGCACCACCTATCTCAGGGCAGAGAGAAGAGATACGTTTGGGAAGTGGAACATTTTGGTAGGGGGGATCTAGAAAGATCAACAAGACATGTTTAGAGTTTCATTTGGGGTTTAGAAAATAGTAAACAGTAATTATCAACAAGTTTACAGATCAACTAAACCACAAAACTTCATTGCAACAGAAAGGAGGTTTTCCATTCAAACATTAAGGCAACTGTAACGAGCAGAAAAACTCGTGTCTATGCTAAATACAATAACATTCTTGCTTTTGAATCTGAATACAGCAGTAAATCTAAGAATACATTAAAATTACTGAAAAACATAACCACTTGAACATTTCACACTGATCAAATCCCTCCTCAATAGCAGAAAAAGCATAGAGAATCCAATAGCATAATGGTATTGCATCTTGGGGCAGGTGCAGTGACAGCGGCTAGAGGAGTGCTGAGTTACCATTTTATACACAATAGAAAGAGAAACAAATCAAACAATGGCAGCGCCGATACTCTTCCTTGGTGCAGCTGCAGTGAATTCCATAAACTAAAGCCAAGGAAACAATTAATGCTAAATAACAAAGCAGTTAACCAAAACAATAACATAATCGCATGTTTTTCAAATATATACCCAGTAGCATAAATTACTCAATGACAATTGACAAACCAAAACATTGCAGAAAGGAAGAGTGGGAAAGGGAGTTCTAATGGGAAAAGATTGGAATGGGAGGAATAGGAAAGACTAGAGCATTCATTTTAAGAATTTCAAATCTTTCATATCCACCCACTCCAAAACCCTTTCCCTTTACTCTCTTTCCACTTCCCAAATTTCATCCAAACTAAGATCAACCTTCCGCCCAATCCTCCAACCCAATCTTCCTCTCTCGAAAACTACAAATAATATAAATAAGCAAATATTGAGCCATCAGTAACCAAAGGTTTTCCACACAAGCTTTGAGCTAATTGTACGGTCCGCATCATGGTTGATCTGAAAGATCACATCATTCGGCACATAAAAATTATACTTTTGCAAAATCCAAAAATTAAAAAAAAAAATAAAAAAAATAAAAAGGAAAACGGAGCTCAGAAAATAATATGGGTAGGAGAAATTATCATCACTCTCAAAGAAGTCAGAGTGGTGCATGACTTTCTCAATATTTCATCAGTGCTCCGTCTAATATATTCACCAAAAAATGAAAAAAAAAAAAAAAAACATATAATTCTCTGGATAATAAACATCGTAGAGAAATCGAGAGAGTATGAAACAGGTTGAGGATGGAGGCTGAGCATATGCGATTATATTGAGACGATATATGCAGACGTAACGTATATATAGGTGAAATGAGGCATCACTAAACCCTAATTTCACGCAATCATGGGTGGGGCGGAAAGGGGAGATGAGTGGCTGTTGCCTGTTGGAGATAATTGAATATAGTAAGCCCCGGCCCAATACATTACCAAACTATTTGGGTAACTTAGGAATGGGCCCAGTTGGTTTATTATTGTATTTGATCCACATAAAGAATATGTTTGCTATGCACCTTGAAGTATGTATCATTACATTATCAAAATATTTCTAAGGCAATCGCTATATCGTGAGCTAGGGTTGACAGTACACTGATGACCTTGGTCTAATATGTATAATTTGATTTTATAATGTACAAAATTTATGTTTATAATGTATAAAATTTATGTTCATAATACACATACACATAAACATGACATAATGAATATGAATTTCGTGCATTATGAACACGAATTCTGTGTATTGAATGTTTATGTGTTTTCATTACATTGTGTTTATGTGTATGTGTATCATGAATATAAATTATGTATATTATGAACATGAATTTGTACATTATGACATCAAATTCTGTGTGTTGGACTATAGTATACAGTGCCCTGTGAACCCTAGTCCACAATATAAATTGCCTTTCTAAGGAATATGTTTGATGAGAATAACTTTACGGAGAAAATTAATGACACCAAACACCCTCTAAGTGGAAAAGGAATTGGAATTCCTCTCTACCAAATATCCGTTCACTATGAAAGTTCAAAATTTCTTGATAATTTAAAATAAAGTTAATTTCATTTTCGATCCTAGATTTATATGTGGCAATCCACTTTAGTCTTTTTTTTTTCAAATCATCATTCTTTGGTCCTAGTAATATTTTTTGTCCTCCATTAACAAAACTGTTTAAATTTCGTAAAATACAATGACATCTAGATCTTCAATTATGATTTTTTTTTTTTGTTTTTGCAAAGTAACTCGTGAATATAAAGTTTTTTTTTTTTTTTTTTTTGAATACCAACTCGTGAATATAAAGCTTATTCAATTATATATCCATCATTTTTTGTGTTAGACTAAAAATATTTTCAAATAAATATAACGCATCTGATTCTTTCATCATACTTGTCACTGCTTTATATATTTGAAGATAGATAATACTTCACCATTAAAGAAAAGATCTTTAATCACCATAAAAAATCGCAACTCACTAAAAAAGTTTAAACACCATTTTTTTTTTTTTGCCAAATTGTCTTCCGTACATGTTTCATTGTCAAACATATTCTTTTGATTGCAGTGTATATATATATTATAATATATATTTTATATTACATATACATATAACATTAAAGAATTTGTGCGCGCGCACATACACATATATGTGTGTGTATATATGTGGAGATTTAAAAATATGTAAAGTGTTTAAATAAATCAAATGTCTGAGAAAACTTTCCTAGTAATATTTTAGTTGATTTGATTCAAATGTAACGCTAAATATGTTAATTAATTTTGAAAACAACAAACAACCTCGTAAATCAATCCCTTTGAAATATGACGAATATTTTTGATTTCCTTTTTTTTTTTAATTCACATATGGATTTGTTAGACCCTAACAAAAAAATTTGAAGATGAAATGGTAATTTGATCAAAGATACTAAACCTATCCAAGATATGTATTCGCTTAAGTTGAAAATTGCATAGAAAAAAGTTTGGTGCTTAAATAGCCAAATTAATCTTGCAAAATAAAAAATGATTAAACACCACTTTGAATAAAATGAATATGTAAGTTATACACTAGGAATGAAAAATACCACTTCGAATAAAATTCATAGATAAATTCTACACTTCAAATTATGACCAAACCAAAACTGATAATTTTCATAGAAGATTACGTGACTCATAAAATAACATGGATTGAAATGAACAAAAATGTTCCATTATCTAAGTACATTTACTCCACGAAATTTCAGTCATCTAAACTTGAAGTCTAGATAGGCTCATGGTAAATTTGAGAAATATTCAGGCGAGTGCGAAGGGGAAAAATGCTCTTTTCTACAACGTTTACAGCAACTTAGCAAACAGAAAAAGACACAAGCGAGGAACCAACCTATATCTGATACACACAAAAAACAAAAACAAAAGAAAAAAAAAACAAAAAAAAAACACAAACAAACAAAAAACAAAAAACAAAAAAAAAACAACAACAACAAAAAAACAAAAACAAAACAAACAAGCATATCAACTACTAGGAGCATTAGATACTACCATATCACCTTCCTTCGTCAGCAAGGGATCAACCAGAGAGCTGATACTGGCAGAGACATTATCCAAAATAGACCCACTAGGATTTTGAATCGCCTCAGCCTCAGCCTCAGGCTCGGCAGAAGAGGATGTTAAATGGGATATGCTGGAAGGAGTGGAAGCTGATGTGACAAGATCTCCAAGATGCTTAGGCCTATTCAAAGTCTTGCAATGTGGGCAATAGTATGTAATGTAAGGAAAATCTTCCTTTCTAGCAAGGCCTGCAAAGCAAACATGATTATACATTCGCATACTCCTGCAAACTCATGAATTCCAATTACAGAAAATGATGTATCACAACCTAATTCCTACCATTGTGCATATGACAGCTACCACAGATCAGTGCATAAGATTGTGTTGGATCCTCTCCAACAAGCAGTGCCGCAATTCGTGCTAACCATCCTCCATCTTGTGTGCTAGAACTTGTTGGATTATAATGCTCAACAGCCTGCTGATGATAATGGCTCATATCAGAACCATCAAGTTGTCTAAGCATTTCATCTTCAGGATGATCCGCTGTAGTACTTCCAGTGCTAGTAGATCTTGTTTGGACGTGCTTTCGATTTCGTAGTCCCCCAGACTGCGCAACCTCAACGTCACTGCTACTTCCACTAGGGGAATTTTGCTTAGACTCATCTCCCACATAAACTTTCAAGCCACTATCAGCACCAAGCTTGGATGCAAGTACAGTAGCAGCAGCTGCCTTGGCTGCTGGGTCGGTATCATACCTCTGCACCAAAAATTCAACACTGAGATAAGAGACCCATCTAATCCTTGCTGTTATCAAGATGGTAGATTATGCTACACAAAGCATGATCTGATTGTTGATATGGTTCAAATCTATTGCCAACTATTCCCATCAGTGCTTCAGTAAAACTATAATGGCCAAAAAATCAAAGGTGTGATA